AAGAAAGTTTGTATTTTAGGCTATTTGAAAGATTTATTGTCATTTATATGCATTATATAAAGTAGGCTTAAGCAAAAGATTATTGGGAGCATGTAGCAGCAATCGAATAAGAACTGAAAAATCCAAATGAATTTCTATCAACACTAGAAATAGTTTTGATCATTTAGTAATAAACAAAACGTGTACTCCCGCAGTCTCCACCACTACCTCAATAGCTATCCATCAGTTTTTAGCAGACTCCTCAGGCTTCTGATAACTCCTCTCAGTTTTCCAGTTTGCATGATACTTTTGAAAGGCCAGTGTCATCACCCACAATTACCTTCTATAGCTGAAAATAAGATTCATATAGAGTTATAGATAGGAGAACACTCCAAATTGAGAAAAGAACAGAAATCAAAACTATGGTTTATTTATTTATTATCCTTCATAATATTATCCTTTATAATACTGTCGAACTATTTTCTTTCTTTCTTGGTTCTTTTGAGATAAGTTTATTAACACCTTTTAAATTCTTGTATGATTAATTCAGAATTTTTTGAGAATTTAACAGATCAAAAGATTCTATAAAGTTGTTCCAGTCAAACAACTAATGAAAATGCTGTTATGAAGAAAATATTTAATTAAAAAATATAAAACCCTACTTGTTTTCCTCAGCATTTTATAAAAATATTTAAATATACAGAGTATTGGAAGGAATTATACGGTGAACACCCATATACTAACCATCTTTAGTGGGTCTGTTCATTGATTTCTTTTTTGATCCACTTCACAGGAAGTTGAAGATATCAGTACACATCATCCCTAAATATTTCATCATATATGTCAGTAACTATCAATAACTAGAATTCGGTATTTATTTCATTTTTTTTTTTGAGGAAAATATTACATACCATGAAATGTATGGGCATTTTGTTCAGTCGGACCACTTAAATCCACCACATGTAGTATAAGTTTATGAATATCTGTTTTTGTCTATCCATAATGATATAAAACCAAATACCATAATACTTTTGGACCCTTTTTAAAAAAATTAAAAGCTTTGATTGTTATTTTATTGCTTAGGAATACTCATTTGTGTAGGAAATAGTAAATACAGGTCTATAAACTTTAGTATAAAGAAGATGGAAACTGTATTAGACTTTTCTGATTGCCTTTGAGGTTTCGCTATAAAAGTTGCCAGTTACTTGCCTTGTTAAGGACAGGTTATAAGGATACATATTTTACACAGGTTTTATCCCACCCAGTTGCTTCAAAGTTTATTTGGGTTACTTGGTTTTATAGTTTATGTAAATTGGGACGTATTCTTCAGGATGGCAATTGCCCCATACTCATTTTCTGGGCGAGTAAGGATGCCATCCCTCTTCTACTCCCCTGCAGGAGGGGTGGGAGATGTCAAGGTAGCAATTGGTTTGACATCACAAAGCATCAAAATGGGAATTTACTCTTGATTTTTTTTCGTATTCTTGTAAGTAACAGCAAAGAGGGAGATAAACAGGCAAAAAAGAGACAAAAGTCTGGAACAGTAGATTGCCAAGAGACAGGGTAGGTAATGGGGGGGGGTAAGAACTGCTAAAGAGAATGTTCCAAGACAGCAGTAAACTCTAGTTTTAAATAGACTGTCTTCCCCTTCATCAAGGGAGCTGTAAGCTAGCCAAATTTCTCAATAATACTTCCTTTAAAATAACTTGCAGCTCTAATGTACATAAGTTTTTAGCAAAGCACTTTCAGTGGGTAAAACACCAGTCCTGTGAAACATTCTATGAAAAACTGGGAAATTCTGCATAATCTGTCTGGCTCTTGGGATTCACAATGCATACTTGCATCTTATCACCTCTGAGAAGTTTCAGTAAAGGAACCTGTTTAACTTTATTTTGAACATATTTTTACTTGAAAGTACTTGAACATGGAACCCTTTTTAATGTACTCTGATTCTTAATTGCTGAAACTGTTGTCCCGTGGAATCAAGTTTAGGGATTGTTGACCTAGGTTCAGGTTGATAGAGCTTCACTTTCAAGCAATTCATTATCCGTATTTGGTTTTTTATCTTCATTTGTTTATTGTGAACTGGAAAGAGGAGAGGGCCAATTTTTACTTATTTGTAATTTGGTCATGGTAGAATTGCAAGAGACGTTGTCTCTGTAATGATAAAATAACACACAAGCTAAGATGCTAGCATTCGTTTTTAAGGAAAATATAAACTTCCTAGGAGAAGGTGCCATGCCTTATTCATTCATTCTCACTGAATAAATACATCTAGGGACCGACCCCATGGCTTAGCGGTTGGGTGCGCGCACTCCGCTACTGGCGGCCTGGGTTCGGATCCCGGGCGCGCACCGACGCACCGCTTCTCTGGCCATGCTGAGGCCGTGTCCTACATGCAACTACTAGAAGGATGTGCAAGTGTGACATATAACTATCTACTGGGGCTTTGGGGGAAAAAAAGGAGGAGGATTGGCAATAGATGTTAGCTCAGAGCCGGTCTTCCTCAGCAAAAAGAGGAGGATTAGCGTGAATGTTAGCTCAGGGCTGATCTTCCGCACAAAAATAAATAAATAAATAAATAAAATAAATAAATACACCTAGCACTAAGTAGACGCTCAGTAAGTTTTAGATTACTTTATGTACTAAATGCTTTTTAAAAATTTGATTGGAAAACAGTGAAGCAAAGACTTAGTAGGGTTTGTTGCTGCTAAAATAAAGAATACTAACCAGAACAGAGGTATTCAGCATTCTAGAGTGACAAAGGGAGTTCCTAAGGAGATTTAAATTCTAGAGGGGTTTATTCAATACTTAAATAAAAAAGAAACTACAAAGATAGTGTTTCCAAACTTCTTGTATATCTTCTTGAAAGGTGTTATAATACTTTGAGCAATGCAGTGCAATAGGGATGATTCATTTCATTCTTGCATCATTCTTCCAGGCAATTCTCTCCTTTTCCCATTTAAAAATTTTTAGTCTTTTTAAGTCTAGATAGGAATAATGATGAAATAATTGCTAGGATAATGAAATGACAAAATATTTCAAGAAATAGGGAAACAGATGACTAAGATCCCATAATGTATCTTAGATTTATGAAAGAGTACAATAGAGCCATGTGATAATTGCAAGCAAGAATATGTTTTATTCTATTAAAAATAAGCAAAGTTATCTTTAATCCTTAAAAGACTGCTAAGAAAGAAAAAACGTCATGAAATAACACTTCTTACAAATAGTTAGAACTACTGAAAAACGAAACTCAAGAACTAAAATTGGGTCCAATGGATCCTGCTAGTATGTCAAGAGGCTGTAATATCTTTTCACTCTTTTTGGAAATGCTTATTGAGGTTTTGTTCTTAAAGTTTTTTTATGTTCTCTGAATTATTTCCCCCTCTTCACAGTATCAGGTTTCTCTTTTCCTCCCTCCCTCCTTACCTCTCTTTCTCCTCTCCCCCCTTTCCCCTCCCATGCCTTCCCCCTTTCCTTCCCCTCTTCCTCTCTTCTACTCCACCTCTCTCCCCCTCCCCCTCCCAATGTCCTTCCTTCCTTTCTTCTTTCCATTTTTGTTCTGTGTTTGGTAAGTGTTTGCTGTCTTTACCTTTACAAATGTAGGTATGGTTTATTTTAGGTTGTAGACATTGTTTTCCTTTGCTTTATATGTAAGTAATTTGTTTTTGCAACTTGATATCCTCCTTGAATGGGAAATCTGACAGAGACGAATAGTGCTTGCATAGGGTGTGTTGATTGAAAGTGTTGGTCTAGGGTGGCTGGGAAGAGAGCCTGGTATCTGGCTGTAGGTCCCCTAATGTGATAATGTGGAGGGATTTGTTCTGGGTGCTGTAACACCTACATTAGGAGCATTACCACTTCCTGGTTTATCCGTGAAACTTCCTCGGAAAATAGCCTGTGTTCCAGGATGGGGTGGGGTTAGATACTAAAATACCAGGCCTGCCTACCTGAAGTCATTTTCCTGGGGAGTGGGGGTTAAGATGGGTGGTCGTTAAAACAGTTGTTCTATGTGTAAACTTTTCTTTAGCCCTGATTTTGTCTCTGTTTTTCACTCCCATCCTTAATCCCAATGGCTCCTGGCTGCTGTAGCCACTTTATAGTATCTTCTGGATTGTAGCCTCCTCTGTTCATTTAATCGCCTAACTGTTTATCTTCTCATCTTCCTGAAGTATGTTGATATCTTCTCCCCCTCTCCTTCACTCCTCTCTCCTCTCCTCTCCCTTCAGTGTTCTGGGTTTATTCTTTTCTGTCTTTATACTGTCATTACTAGAGTACTGGGAAGGACAGGAAGTCAACACATTTTCTCAGTGTGCACTTTTCTGCAACATGCATATTAAAAGGCAGCATCTATTACAGTTTAATTACCATCAGTGTTTGAAGTTACTGTTTTCATGGCAACCTATCATTTTTTTTTTGCCAGTTTAAATTGTATAAAATATGTCTCGTTCTAATGTGTAACCTTTTCTACGTAACTAGCAAATCATGGTTTTCCCTTTTGAGTTTGTTATTGTATAGTTTCTATGAATTGTTTGTTCATTTGAATTTCACATTTGCTGTAAAGTCCTAGATTTTATAACCAGTTTTCATAGGATCTTTATGCAGTATATTGACTCTTCTGTGCTGCAAATATCTTCTAGTTTTTTGTTTTCACTCTAAATTTAATTATGTTTATTTTGTAAATTATGTATTTTTTGAATGTATTTATCTGCTTCATGATTTCTGAACTTTGAAACATTGAAAAAGGTATTACCACTCCAGACAATTTATGTTAAGTAGGATTTTTATTTTTGTTTTACTAAACTTTCTAAAATTAATTTTTTGGAAAAGTTTTGCAAAATAATTTGGCAGTGCATTGTGGGAGCCAAGAAAATGTCTTTCTGTTTTGATCCTATTCTTAGGAAACTTAATTAAAGGGAGGAATAAAATTTGTTTGGTGTTCTGAACTCAACATATTCTTATTTTGTCATATGCTTTGAAATACTAAAAGTCAGGTAAAATATTTTTGTGTTTTCCAGATTATTGCTCGGTTGTAACAATTGTGGACCAGACAAATGTAAAGTTAACCTGCCTGTTCTTTAGTGGAAATTATGAAGCACTTCCAATAATTTATAAAAGTGGAGATATTGTCCGCTTTCACAGGCTGAAGGTATAGTTCATACTGTCTAGAACTTACATTTGTTTGAGAGAACTCTGTATTGTTCACTAAAACTAGGTAGCACTAATTATGTGGTTGGTTTGTTAGAACGTGATGTCAAGCATTTCAAGAGATAAGAAGAAATGTAAGTAGTGAGACTTCAAATAATTTATATTAGGAAACCTCTTCTTTTGAACAAACTGCCTGCCCTCCTTCCACAGAAATGTATTAGATACCATGATACCAGACTTGTTGCTTTTTGTCCTCTCACCGCTAAATATGGATTGGAGCTTTAAAGTACTGACATTTAAAGTACTGAAATGTTTGTACTGAAAAGTACTGAATGTTTGTACTGAAAAGTACTGAATGTTTTTAACAAATGTTTGATAAAGAGTTTGACAAAGAACATTTGTTAAAAAAAAAAAAGCCTTAGGTCAACAACAAAAAAAGTATACAAAGATTGGAGATGCTGTTATTCTTTTCTGTTTGTTGTATTAAATCAGGTACAATGAAAGCATTGAAATATATTATGTATAAAATCAAAGTAAATTGATCTTCATTTATGAGAAATGTGTAAAAATATGAATAGATACTTAGGTACTTTTAAATTATGCTAGCAGTTAATTAAATGTAAGAAAACCTTTAATATGAAGGTAAAGCTATTAAATAGTTACATGAGTTTTTAAAAATCAGCTTTTCAGTACTTTAACATTTTCAGTACCTTAAGTTTTAAGCATTTTGGTCCCTTCATTTTTCCTCTTGTTACGTGGGTTTCCATGCAACCCTCTCTTTATCTTGGTTGTCCTTTTTCTCTAGTGCTTCAGTTGATCTTTGTCCCTCTTGGTCAGTGGGCTGCTCATAAATGAGTGCAATATTCCAAGTGTGTTCTATTCTTAGATACGGGGGGAATTTCCTTTCTTGATCTATTAATGCCTTTTCCCTGAGAATAGAAGAATAGTAGAAGATATTGCATGAAGATAGAATAGAAGATAATGCGTGAAGATAAATAGAAATATTATTGTTGTAGCACTGTATTACAGGCTTATCCAAACTTGAAGAGAGAGCTTATTTCTCACACATTGCTGTTACCTATAGTATTTATATTCTAACAGTGCACCCTCTCCTAACATTTTTAGTTTTTATTCTTGCTATTGTTTAATTGAAATAGAGTATACATCTTTCCATTCACAGTATGAGCATACTCATGTAACTAGCACTCTAGAAACTTCCTTCCTACCCCCACCCAGGGTGATCATTAACACTTCCCCCACCCTCAGGAGTAAATAGTCATAACTTATAACAACATATATTAGCTTCATCTCTATTTGTTCTTTATGTAAAGGGAATAGACTATAGTTTTTGTTTTTTGTTTATTTTTCATGTCTGGCTTATGCTTGTGTGATTGAACCATATTACTGCATATAGTTTTACTTTGTTCATTTTCATTGCTCAGTGGTATTCCATTGTGTGAATACATCAGAATTTATATATTTATTCTGTTGGACATTTAGGTAGTTTTCAGTTTGAGGATATTATGCTACTATAAACAGTCTAGTACATATTTTTTAGTGAATATATATAATTATAATTATATATATTTTAGTGAATATATTTAGTGGATATTATGTATCATAATTATATATAATTATATACGAATATAATTATACAAATATATAATATATTACATATTATGTAATGCATATATATATTTAGATAGGTAGATATGGATGCAGTTCAATTGATTATATACCAAGGAATGTGGTTCCTAGGTCCTAGGATATGCTTATATTCATCTCTAGTTTTCTGAAGTAGTTTTTACCAATTTATACTCCCATTAGCAATATAAGAGAATTCCACTTGCTCCACATTTTCACCAACACTTGATATTTTCAATTTATTTTAACCATTCTGTTTCATGTATATTAGTATCTTATTGTGATTTTAACTTGAATTTCCCTGAAAATTTATGAAATTGAGTCTTTTAAAATTTGAGTATCTTCTGAAATATAAAGTGTCCATTTGAGTCTTTTGCTCATTTTTCATAGAATTTTATCTCCCTTTCTTAATGATTGGTGGAAGTTCTTTATATAGGTTTAGGCTACAAACCTTTTGTCAGGTATATGAAAAATATGTTCTCCATATTGTGAATATATTTCCCAACTCTACGGATTGCTTGTTTACCCTCTTAATGGTGTCTTTTGATAAACAAAAGTTCTTAATTTTAATATACTCTATTAACTTTTGTTTTATGATCGGTACTTTCTGTGTCCTTTTTAAGAACTCTGTCTACTCTACTCTACTTCATGTAGATGGCTCCTGTTTTCCTTTAAGTCATTTACTATTTTCCTGTTTTATATTTAGACCTGTAATTTTCTTTTCCCACAATGTTCTTGCCAAATTTTGAAATTAAAGCCATGCTGCCTCATGACAATAGTTAGGAAGTGTGCTCTCTTTTTCAGTTCTAGAAGAGTATGTGCAAGATTAGTGTTCTTTTCTTCCTTAAATGCTTAGAACAATGCACTGGTGAAGCTATCTGAGCCTGGTGATTTGTTTATTGATAGGTTTTTATTAATGAATTACATTTCTTTAAGAGGAATGAGATTATTCAAATTTTTTATTTTTTCTATCAGCTTTGATAAATTTAATTTTTAGAAAAGTTTGTTTCATCCACATTGTCGAATTTATTGGTATAGAGTTGGTCATAATATCACTTACCTTTCAGACGTTTATGGGATTCGTGATGATAAATGCTTTTTTGCAGTCTTGATATTATAATTTGTGTTTCTACACTTTTTTTCCAGATGTCTTTCTAGATTTTTTATTTTTATTAATCTCTACAAAGAACCAGCTTTTCACTTTTAATTTTCTCTATTTTATGTTTCTATTTCTCTTGCCTTGATTATGTTTTCCTTCTACTTTCTTTGGATTTAAGCACCTTAATAAAATTGACAGACCCTCGGGGACCTGTGGAATAAGATCAAATGGTGAAATATGTCATTTGAGATGCAAGAGAAAAGAATGTGAATAGGAAGAAAAATATAATAGAAATAAGGACAAGAATTTTTCCAAATTTGCTGGAAAACGTTGACGGACAGATCCAAGGAACTCAGTGCACTCTATGCATGGTACCACAAAGAAAAGCACACCTAAATGAATCATGATGAAACCGTTGAAAAAGATAAAGGAAAAAAATCTTGAAATCAGCTGGTGGAGAAATGACACATTCCGTATAGGGAAACAGTGATACCAGTCATCTTTGATTTCTTATTGGAAATATTGACGCCCAAAGAACAAAGCAATAATAAATCTTAAATGGTGATAAAAAATTTATTTTCTTGGAATTTTGTACCCTTCAAAAATGAAGGTAAAATAAAGACATTTTTATCGACATGAAAATGGCCAGCATTCTTCACTATAAGAAAATGCTAATGGATGGTATTCAGAGCGAAGAGGAACACTACCAACCAAAAACTTGATTGTTAGGAAATGACAAAAAAAATCCCACAAAGAAATGGTAGATAAATGAGTAAATAAATGTGAAAGACAGTGTATTCCTTCCCATAATTTCACTAAAAGATAAATGGCTATTTAAAAGAAAAACAATAATATTGTAAGGTGGGGTTTATAAAATATGTAGGAAAATATGACAACAGTAGCACAAAGGATGGGTGGTACAGTTAAATGTAATTATACCACTGAAGGGTTATTACCTTCAGAGGTTATTACACTGTTAATAGAAGTGTAAAATGGGATATGGGAAAGTGGGAAATGTGAGATGGAAAGTAGAAAGTATGTAGTAGAATAATATTGACTCCAAATCAACTTTGAGATGTTAGGGATTCATTCATAGAACAGAGGAAGTAAGTGAGACACTAATAAGTTCAAAATAAGACAGGAAAGGAACAAGAGAAGAACAAAACTTGTAAAAAGCGAAAAAGCAAGGGAGGGAAACAAAAAGAAAACAAAAAAGATAACAGACTTAAATAGAACTATATCAATAATTACATTTATATAAGTTGACTAACCACTCCTCTTGCAAGGAAAAAATAGACTGAATAAAAAAACAAGAACCGGGCCCGGTCCAGTGACGCAAGCGGTTTGAGTGCGCGTGCTCCGCTGCCGCGGCCTGGGGTTTGCCGGTTCAGATCCTGGGTGCACACCGGCACACCGCTTTTCAAGCCATGCTCTGGCAGCGTCCCATATAAAGTGCAGGAAGATGGGCACGGATGTTAGCCCAGGGCCAGTCTTCCTCACCAAAAAGAGGAGGATTGGCAGATGTTAGCTCAGGGCCAATCTTCCTCACAAAAAAAAAAAAACAAAAAAACAAAAAAACAAGAACCAAATATGTGCTCCCTACAAGAAATAAAGACACAAACAAGATAGAAGTAAAACTGTAGAAAAGATATACCAAACAGTAAGCATAAGGAAAATGAAATAACAATATTAATATCAGAGTATTACAAGAGATTAAAAACAGTGAGGGAGCATTTCATAAGCACAAAAGGGTTACTTTATGAAGCAGATGTAACAATCATAAATGCATGTGCATCTAATAACTGAGCCTCAGAATTCAGAAAGCCAAAGTCTTTACAGCATATCTCAGGTCTCTCAGACTGATGAAACCTTCGCCCCAGCTGCATTTTATTTACTTCAAACTCATATTTTAAGTGTTCTATTTTTCCCTATAACATTCATAAGTAATTGTCACTTATTATCTTTTTTCCTTTTGTAAATTGTACCTTAATAAAATAACAAATGTGAAAATGCAAGCTTGATAGGATTAGGGAATCTACCACCTAGCTTTTTAAAAAGTAGAAATAAATTTTGCATAGTGTTTTACAGTTTACATAGTGCTTGTAGATCTTGATATAGCCCAGTTGATTTTATAATTTTGTATGCTAATTAAATGAAATATATTAAAGAATTATGTCCTCTGTTTACTATGCTGGCAAGATTTTATAATGTCTCGAGTTTCTTCAGTTCCTGGGTTCTGCATCATTAAGCTGTTTTGTTTGTTTCTGTTTTGTTTTCTACTTTGCCCCACTTTCTTAGATCCAAGTATATAAAAACGAGACTCAGGGTATCACCAGCTCTGGCTTTGCGTCTTTGACATTTGAGGGGACTTTGGGAGCTCCTATCATACCTCGTACTTCAAGCAAGTCTTTTAACTTCACTGCTGAGGACCACAAAATGGTAGAAGCCTTACGTGTTTGGGCATCTACTCATATCCCACCTTCTTCGACATTAGTAAAATTGTGTGATGTTCAGCCAATGCAGTATTTTGACCTGACTTGTCAGCTGTTGGGCAAAGCACAGGTGGATGGAGCATCATTTCTTCTGAAGGTAGATATTTTTAAATACTTGAAATTTTAAGTTAGTACCACCTACATGTCTATAAAGAGCTTATATTTCAGCATTCTGTTGGAATAAATATGCATTCTTTGTATTATATTAAGAACTTAAAATCTAACTTACCGTTTTTGATGAGCCTGGATATTCATGCAACTCTTCTCTAGAGCTTCTCTTCTTTATCCTGTACTTCCAGAGAAAAATAATATTTTCAGATCTATATTTTAAATATAGTATAGTTTATGCTATCTTTGTGTATTTCTTATTTGAGTACTCATAAAATATGGAGTTATTTTCTACTATTATTTTTTAGTTGTATTTCTACATATGCGTATTTCTGCTTTTCTGTCAATTTAACCTGCTTTCTCACTCATTTACTTTCTCAGCTGATTAATAATTGGGTTCTCTTCCCAAGTCATTTCACTGCCTGCTTTGTAGGTAGATCATGGACAGTTTTGAAGTGTTGTTGTTCCTATTAAGTTTTGTTTTGTTTTTAAATCAACAGGATAAAAAAAAAGTAGCATAAGACCCATCTAATCTGTGTTTACTCCTACCCCAGTTTACTCAGAAATAGCATCTGGAGAAGGCAGTTGTCTGGTACTGTCCTCACCTGCCCGTCCTAGGCAGGACGCATGCAAACAAATGCTGCTCCAGCCCTGCTTTTGTGGTTATTTCTTTAGCTTCTAACTCTTTGGAACAATAGGACAGGAAATGGAGTACAGTGTCATTTGGACAAGTATTGGGGTTTAGCATTGTTATCATTTGTATCTTGCCCGTATTAAGGAATGGTGAAGGTAGAAATCATTGAATAAAATATGAAATTTTTGAAGTTGAAAATAACATGTTTATATACACATGAAATACTCTGAAAAAGTAAATGTATGCTATAAAAAAAGTTAGATAAGTCAAGTATGACAAAGCTAAAGCAATATAAAATCATCCAAAGTTAGAAGGAATCTTAGGTCAGCCAGTCATACTTTCTGCCCAAAGTGACATCCTTAACAAATGAGCGCTTACTAATCACTGAGTACTTCCAATGACAAGGAATCTACTGTGCAGAGAAAGAAGTGTACTCCATCTTTTGACCGCTGCTGTTAGAAAAATTCTTAAATTCTGAGAGAAAGTCTGCTTTAGCTGACGTGACTGAATCTGCATTTTCTCTCTAAAACAACAAAACATATGCCTCATCCCATTTTTATAGATAGCCTTTTCAGATAAATGAAAACAGTTTTCATGTGGATGTTATTTTAAAATACAGCATTCAGAAGTGAATGTAAGAAATTACATTAGTAAAGCTTTCTTGAGGACAGTTTAAAATAAATCTCAGAAGTCTTTGTGTACTCTTTGACTCAATTCTATTTTTGTAAATTTTTTACAGTAATAATTTAAAATGTGAAAAAATGCATTTACAAGAATATTTATTTATATATCTTACAATAACAAAAATTAGAAAAAACTCAGATACTAACAATAGAAAATTAATTGTGTGAAGTATTTATGTATCATGGAATACGTATTCTGTGACTATAAAATGACATTGTAGACATATAGTTATTGAGAAAGTTATTCATGATATTCTGTTTAGTGATTAATGCAGCTTCATTTATACACTAAAAATGTACTATGTACATAGCAAAAATATATTGAGAAGAATATATAGCAATACTTTACTTGTGTTATCTCTGGGAAGTCAAAGTTTGAGTGATTTTTTTTTTTTTCTGAAATTGATTTTCCTATCACAAACCAGAAATAAGTTTTTAAGTTATGTTTTAAAAACAGAAGGAGCTAGACATTACCCCAAATGAAGTCTGGTGAGCATGGACTATAGCATAATTATTTTGTCTCAACCTGGATATGATAGTAATATTGTTCCCTTTATTAGTAACTATGTTACATTCATTTTAATTATTCTAGTAGACATGTTACACCAGTGGTTTGCCTGAAAATCATGATTTAATGTAGCTGTAGGCTTACTGACATTAACTCACATTTTTCTTTATTACTCTGTTTATACAGCTTTATCTTTCTGAACAGCAAGCCCTTAAATTGGATTTCCTTTAAGTACTTAAATATTTTTGGATATCCACAGCCTCATCTTTTTAGTGTTTTGTTTGTTTACTTATTTGTAAACAGCTAGAAGTTATTGGTAGCCAGAGCTGGTAGATAGTTTGTATATCTAATCTGTACTATGGTTTGGAGATCAAAAAAACATAACATAAACCAGAAAATCATCATGTTAGAGGGACTATTCTGATTTTCACCGCTTAATTCTTTGTATGGAAACAGCAGACGAATGCTATATAACTAATCTAAGAACAAGACTGAATCTCGTAAATAGTTCAATTAATGCCAAAGGAATAAATCACTATTATCATAATTTTTAAAAAGAATCCATAATTTTACTATGCATATTTATATACACTAAACTATTTTCACATATGAATTTTTGTCAAGACCTTTTTGGTTTTTATTGTATAAAACACTGACTCAGGAGATAGAAATGAATTTAAATCGTTTTTTAAAATCAGTGATTAGATTCCTATCACTGACATTGTAACACATTATGAATTAAAAGGTTGAGTTAAAATTATTTAATTGGTAATTGTGTATTTCTTTTCAAATTCAGATGTAATAGAATTCACTATGGAGATATTTATAATTCAATAACAAAAAAAGTTTGGTTGAATCTTAAGATTATAATTTTACCATAATAAAATTACTGCAAATATTTATTCCCCAAAAAAGAGACGTTAAAGAATACATTCTTTTGACTAGAATCAATAAATGTGTAAATTCAAACATGTGTTACAAACCAAAACCAAATACTTAGATGTTAAAAAAGAGAGTATTCCCCCACACACTGTTGTTTCAAAAAGAAATTAAGTATAATTATAGGTTATTAAGAATGTCTTCATGAACAGAGAAAGAAAAAGAAAAGGCATAGCATATTAGAATAAGGTTTCAACTCAAGAAATTGAAAAAATAAAAAAATGGAAGTATGGAAAGTGGGAAGTAGTATTTTAATAAGGTATTTAATTTTTGGATAGGTAATTTTAGCATTGTCCAGAAATTTAAGGGGTATTTTTAAATGATATGTAGTGCAAATTTTCTGTCCTTGACTCCCTCTCTTGTCTCCATCTTCTCAGTCTCTCCCTCCAAAAACCAGGAAACCACTAAAGTGAGTTTCTTGAATATCTTTTAAGGACATACAGTCTTGCTCTGCATAACAATGTTTCAGTCAATGACAGACTGCATATACAACTATCCCTAAGATTAGTACCATATAGCCTAGGTGTCTATGATGTTCACACAATGACAAGATCGCATAACAACACATTTCTCAGAATGTATGGCCGTTGTTAAGCAATGCGTGATGTACTTTAGTTCGTATACAAATACTATTGTGTTTTCTCTTTGTATACGCGTGATAGCATACTGTACACACTACTTTGCAGTTGCTGTTTTTACTTAACTCTATCATAGAGATTTTTCTGCATCACCACCTTAAAAGTTCCTTGTATTAGTTTCCTAGGGCTGCCATAACAAATTACCATAAACTGGATGGCTTAAAATCACATAAATGTATTCTCTCACCGTTCTGGAGGCCACAAGTTCAACATCAAGGTGTAGGCAGAGCCATGCTTCCTCCAAAGGCTCTCAGGAAGAATTCTTCCTTGCCTCTTCCTAGCTTCTGGTGGTTGCTGGTAATCCTTGGCATTCTTTGGTTTACCTGATGCGTTGCCCCAATCTCCGTCTCCTGTCAAATGGCTTTCTTCCCTTGTGTCTCTAAGTCCAGATTTTGCTCTTCTTATAAGGAGACCAGTTTAATGCCTACCCTATTCCATTATGACCTCATCTTAACTAGTTACGTTTACAAGACACTATTTCCAAATAAGGTCACATTCATAGGTTCCAGGTGGACATGAATTTTGGGGGGACTCTACACAACTGCTTTGTTTTTATTGTATGAAGGTATGGCATGGTGTCTTTTAACTTGTATCTTATTGATGCATTTAGGAGGTTGACTAAAATGTTTTTCATTTCACATGTATGCTCATAGATCTATGAAGATAAATTGCTAGAAATAGAATTGCTGATTCAAGGAGTATATGCATTTGAAATTTTGATAGCTCTTGCTAAGTTACCCTCCATAGAGATTGCCCCTTTAAACAACTCCTAGCCCTGCATGAAAACACTTGTTTCCTAACAGTAAGGTATTGTTATATATAGTTAGGTAGGAATTGTTATATATAGTTAATGAGTTTTTTAAAAAATAGAAAAAGATAAAACTGATAAGTTTAAGGGCTTAAAAAACAAAGTTTGGTTATTCTGATTTTTAAAAAGACAAAAAAAGAATTTTCTAAATTAAGAATGATACAAGAGATATATTTTTATATATGGAGGAGTTTAAACATAAGAAAATGTTATATTCTGGTACTTTTATGCTGGTAAATATGAAAATCTAGATTAAATTGATTATCTTTTTAATTTTTAAAATTTAAATCAAATTTAAATTTTTTTAATTGTTGAATTAACTAGTAAAATGTTTATGAGCCCAGATGGTGAGCTCCTTCAAACCAAATTAGACCAAAGCAGACCAGTATCACACAAAACAAGGACACACATCCCAGTTTTGTTTATAAATACAGAAACCAAAATTCTTGATCAAATACTGTCAAACAGAATCCAATAATATATGAAAATAGTAGTATATTTAATCCAGCACAATTTATTTTTATAATTCAGAAATGGTTCAATTTCAGGAAAATTATAAAATCATCTCTGTTGATGTTAAAAATTATATGATTATCACCATGAATGTTAAAAATATTTATGAAAATGTTTAGCAAAACAGAATTGGAAGTAGGCTTAACTTGGCAAACAATTTCTATCATAAGGTAAACAAAATATTTAGTGTTGAAATTCTGAAGTCAGTAATGATAGGAACAAGACGAAAATATCCACTATCATCTTTGTTATGTAATATCATTCAGGAAGTCTCAGGAAATCCACTAATATAAGAAGAAGAAATGAGAGATTTAACTATTTTAAAGGAAAAAAAGGGTCAGTCAGTACTCAGAAGATATAAAAACCCCAAACAATTAACTGAAAAGCTATTTGGATTAATAAAATTATTCAGTGAAATAACTGCTTTGAAATATTAGTACAGTAGAGCTTTCCTATATATCAGCAATAAATAGAACATATAATTGAACACAAGATCTTTCCAAGTCCCAACAAAACTGTAAAACAAGAAAGGTCATGCAAGAAATACCTGAATTTCTGTGAAGAAAACTATGCAACTTTACTGAGGAGTATAAAAGAGAACTTGAACTATTAAAAGAGTTTGTGAATCTTGCCTTTATAAAGTGTTTTAAAAAAAATGCAATTTTAATTAAAACCATGTTTGTTTTTTTATTAGAGAAAATAAATGATCGAGAGTAAAAAAGAAAAGCTTGACAAAGTAAACTAAGTCGGACCTCCATATCAGATATTGAAACATATTATGAAACTACAATAATTAAAGCTATAGTAAGACTGATGAATGGAAAAGATGAGGAACCTCAGAAACAGTCTTACATTATGCATATAATAATTCCATACATGATAAAGGTAACATTAACATTTCAAATTGGTGAAAAAAGATTGTTAAATGGTGGATGTTACCTATTTGAAAAAAAGAATTAGATTTGTATGTAATATACAAATTCCTAGCAGATTGAGTTTTGATATAAAATTAGAAGAGTTTCAGAATTAAAAAAAGTGTGAGTTCTAGGCAGTTAAAACTGAAGCACAAAAGCAATATAGCAACACTCTACCCTCTCAACCCCTCCCCAAAAGATTCGTGGATTGGTCTGTAAAGTCATTTTAAAGTCACAAAAAACAGTGTACACAAAATGTAAGAATAAATTCCAAGTGGAGAAAAATGTTTGTGACATAGAGTATTACTGCTCCCGAAGTGATTGCCCTGGTTCTTTGAATAATTTAGGGAGCAGAGTGAGTGATGCAAACTCATAATTGTTTACTTGAAACTTAACACTGTCACCAGTGTTATTCAGTACTTCCTCTGTAGTCTGACACTGGCAGCCACCTTTTCTATAGAAATGTAGTTTTTCTATTCAAGTAGCCTCTTTACTCTTGTCCAGCCAAACTTCTTTTGACGTGCAGAGGCATTCCTACCTCAAGCCAAATGTCTTTTGTCATACTCTTTTACGGCGTAGCATAACTCAGCTCATCTCTTAAAACCCTGCACAGCACAGGCTAGTTAATGTCCTAAGCATGGGGTAGTGCATACTCATCCTGGGCCCACGTTCTCATCCTTATCTCAGTGTAGCTTACATAGCAATTGAACATAATTTTCCCTTTCCAGCACCTGTAATTTTCATTCACTTGTATTTGTAATATCTAACATAAACAAAATATTCATATCTGTACTTTTAATTGCCTTTTCCAAATCAGAACAAAATTTTTAAAAAAGGGCAAATGTCAGAATACATTCCTAAAAGTAAGAATTCATACTTAAGAAAATTAGGAGAGATACTCATAAAGATTTATACACAAGATGGTAATTACTAAATTATTTAAAATAACAAAAAATTTAAAACAACCCAAATGACCAATAACGGAATTAGTTTAATAAATTTGTGTGCATCTATACCATAAAATAATGTGAAGCCATGGAAAAACATATTTTAGAAGATTGTTTAAGTTGCCTGGTAAAGTTCTCAACAATAAACTAAGAAATGAAAAGCAGAATATAATGCCAATTTGTTAAAAGGAAAAAAAGACATATGTATTATAAATACACAGAATAAAAAAAGATAAAGTAAATTTAACAATATGTTAGTATTTTTTCTAGGCTCCTAGCAGTGTGAATTTTTTTCTTTACATTTTTCATATTACCTATAGTTCATGTATGTAGTCCTTTTATAATCAGAAAAGATTATACATCATATTTAAAGTTTTAACAGATATTTGGGAGAATATGTTTAATTCCTTTTTAGTTATATTACCAGCAAATAAGATTCTGCCTGCACAGTTTTACAAAAAGATCATTAAACTTTGCTCTACTCTCTTATGGCAGGTGTGGGATGGCACCAGGACCCCATTCCCATCTTGGAAAGTCTTAATACAAGACCTTGTTCTTGAAGGTGATTTAAATCACATCCATCGGCTGCAGAATCTGACAATAGACATTGTAGTCTATGATAACCATGTTCAAGTGGCAAAGTCTCTGAAGGTGATGTTGAGTAGCAGACTTGTTTGCTATTTTGTATTTTTATAAATTTGGGGGTTGAATCACATTCATAGGTGGTATTTGGGGTCTAGAAATTAACTCCAAACTTACTTTTCATTAATTTTTAATTTGTAAAATATGTGTTTAAAATAAATTATTAGAATATATATCAAATTGTAATGGTTTGAACAATCTTTTAAAATTAAAGAACGTTGGGCCAGCCCCAGTGGCCTAATGGTTAAGTTCGGTGCACTCCACTTCGGCGGCCCAAGTTCAGTTCCCAGGCATGGACCTACACCACTCATCTGTCAGTGGCCATGCTGTGGCAGCATCTCACATACAAAAAGAGGAAGATTGGCAACAGATGTTAGCTCAGGGTGAATCTTCCTGAGGGGGGAAGGGGTCGGGGGGTGGGGGTTAAAGAGTGTTTCCTGAATATCTTACAGCTGTACACAATTTTACTGTGAAAATAGTAAAAAAAAATTTTATTGGTCAAGATATGCTGCTTTAAAATGACAAAAAATATATCAAATATTTGTAAACTTAAATATTTGTGAACTTGGTTAATTGATTTGATAAAATCTAGCCTGTAACTTTGTTTAAGAAATTGTTAATCTGCCTCTAATATTTATCATAACTTATGTGTCTGTGTGTGTACTGTACAGTTTATTAGAATTTGCTCACTGTTTTTGAGATACAGTTTTTTAGGTAAAAGTAAAATGGATAGATATGGCACTTATTGCTTATTAATAATATTTTAGGGAATATTTTTCTTTATTTCATTATATCTTTTATTTGCTAGTATCCTTTCTAGCAAAGAATGGTGTCAAAATATCATTTGTTAAGTACTTCCTGTGTATTTAGCACTATTCCTGTGCAGTAGTACTGTCATCATTCCTGTTTTACAAATACGAAAACAGGCACTCAGAGGGTAAGCCCAAGATTTCACACCTAGTTGGGTGAAGCCAGTATTCAAATCTACAATGTCTATTTCCAGAGCCAGTCCTCTTGAGCAGTATAAAGAAGTGATTTTTTTTATTGCAATTAGCTTCTGTCCAACCTTTAGGGAGTTATACAGCCTACTTATAGGAAGAAAACAGTAAAAGTGAATTGTGATTTTTTAGATCTGGACTTGAATGCCCATTTTCGCTTTGTAAATAAATGTTCTTGGAGGAGGAAATACTTCTATTTGTAAATTGTATTACAAATAAGCCCACCCAACTCAAGTTAATATATTAGGTGAAAGTCAGGGTCCAGGAAGGTGGGAACTGCATTTTCTTGTCCTCTGTGTTGGTGTGTGTGCACACGTTCATACTTGACATATCAGAGAAAATTAACTGTTGAAGATATATTTTTGATGCTTTCACCCTGATTTGATCTACATTGATTATAGTTTATTTTGAAAATAAATGTAATGGTAAAGCCAATTCTGAAGGGTTTTGTTTTTTTTTTAATACAGATAGAGTTCTTTTGTGAATGAAAAAGATCAACATTTTAGATTTTACTCTCACCATTTAATTCCCTTCTGTATCTCTATGCTGCTTCTCTGGGTCTTTCTCTTCCCCTCACTTGTCCTGGTTTCTTTGTCCAAGTCCTGAATAGCACCAGTACTTTCCATATAGTAAGGACGAAGTAAATAATATCTGCTGGTGAATGAATGAATCAATGAGTGCTGTGAAGTTTTTTCAGAATTTTTTTCATCTCCTTTTTTATTGGTTGCATTATCTCACCCACTAGAGGGTGCTCTGAGCACACATAATTAAGAAAATATAGGGTACTTAAGTTTTTTCTAAAGATATTGTGACATTATATTATTTATCTGCAATATAATAGAAAAATGAGAAAAATTTTCTCTGTGTATAAGTAAAATAACTTGAGGCTTTTATTTAATGTATACTGATATCACATTTATTTGTTCTGAGACAACCTCTGTGCTATTTTCATATTAATTTAAGAAATCCCCAGAGTCAGATAACATTGATACAAATGAATTCTTATCAGCTCTTGAAGACAACTGCTTAAAATTGCATTTTTATACCAAACTATATGGGACAGATGTATTTTTGTTGTACAGGAATGGGGGGGAAAGTATGGAATTTTTGGTTTTTAATGAAGAGTACAGTTAAGGTAATTATAAAGTATAGTGTAATTGACTTGTATATATAATACATTTTACAGCCTAAGTTGCCCTTAACATTTTTCCTAAATCTTGCTTTTTAAGTTATCTTATTCCCTAAATATTTTATACAAGCACATACAAACACACAAACTGATATTTCAGACATTTTGTCTAGAAATTAAGGCAGTGTATTTTCAATCCCCAGTCTTATCCTGACACGGTTTAAAAATAGTTACAAAACATACCTAGTCATAATTATGTTTTGGCCTTCAGTGAACCAAGAGCTGTAGTTTGGTTATTTTTATACATATACATGTCATTAAAAATATTAAACCTAAAGGGAAATTCTTGATAGTTTATAAGGAATATCTAAATTATTTTTAAAGGGATAGTGATTTCTTAATAACCGTGTTTGATTTGCTTTATTTTTAATGTTTGTGTATTGAAATGGGATTTTATAATAATTTTTTAAAGTATATTTTTATAATTTTTTGGTTATGACTCACTTACAATTTTTGGAATCTTATCACATTACTGATAAGACTAAGCAATATTTGCCTATTATAATAGAGCATCTGGCACATTTCATAGTATATTTAGCAAGCTTAAAAAAAATACAATGCTGCCTCCAGAAGGAATTTCTGGAAATAACAATTTGTCATCTTTATAGCCTATTTATATAAATAAATTCTCTCTTGGTCTTTAAATTTTGTTTTATTATGAAATACAATAGTAGAAAAGATAGTATAATAAAAACCCCTGTGCCTACCATCCCAACTTAACATTTCTAAACGTGTTACCACACTTATTTCAGGTACTTTTAATTTTTAAGAAATAAAACTCTACATGTTGAATCTTTTTTGTATTCCTGCTTATTTTCATTTTTTGCTCCCCAATATCCTCTTTCTATTTATCCTAACATGTGGGTATGTACACCCATGTTTATTATGCTTTTATTTTATGTACTTTTGTCTGAAAAATGCATATAGTATATGTATCATTCTGTAATTTGCTTTTTTCCTGTGACATTATATTTTTAAGATTTATCCATGTTCATGCATGTGTCTGTGTTAATACCAGACTGTCTTAATTATTAGACTTGTATTTTTAAATAATAATTCAGAGGTCAAGCAAGCCCCCCTCCCAGCTTTTTTTTTTTTTTTTTTTTGGTGGAAGATCAGCCCTGAGCTGACATCCATGTTAATCCTCCTCTTTTTGCTGAGGAAGACTGGCTCTGAGCTAACATCTATTGCCAATCCTCCCCTTTTTTTTTTCCCCAAAGCCCCAGTAGATAGTTGTATGTCATAGTTGCACATCCTTCTAGTTGCTGTATGTGGGACGCGGCCTCAGCATGGCTGGAGAAGCGGTGCGTTGGTGCGCGCCCGGGATCCGAACCCAGGCCGCCAGTAGCGGAGCGCACGCACTTAACTGCTAAGCCTCGGGGCCGGCCCTCCCAGCTTATTTTCCAACATTTACTTGCTCTTCACTTTCATATACATTTTCAGATCAGCTTTTCCAGTTCCATGAAAGACACTAGGGATTTTGATTGCATTGATTTTAAAGATTCATTAATTTGGGGGAAATTGTCATCTTTATAATGTTGAAGTTTTTCATTTATGAATATGGTATCTTTCTCCATGTGTTTAGGCCTCTGTAAGTCCTCTGTGGACTCTATACATGTACTGTACCAGTGTATTATATATATTTAAAAGAATCACAGAATAATTAACGTTCAAAAAGAGTAAGATAGGGCCGGCCCTGTGGCCTGGTGTTAAGTTAGATGTGCTCTGCTTTGGCAGCCCGGGTTCCATTTCCAGGCGTGGACCTACACTGCTCAACAGCAGCCATGCTGTGGCAGCAACCCACATACAAAATAGAGGAAAGTTGGCACAGATGTTAGCTTAGCTCAGGGCAAATCTTCCTCAGCAAAAAAAAAAAAAAAAGGCAAGTGAAGCTCAGGTCGGGACTGTTGTAAAAAAAAAAAAAAAATAGGAATGAGATAAAAATAAGTAGAAATAGACTGTTTTATATTTACTTCCAGTATTTTACTTTGGAGACCATGAGGAAAATCAGGTTTGTCTTTTCTTTTTTCCTTTTGTTGTCTTCTCTGACTCTGCCCTGCTCCCCTGCCGTGATGTGAGTGTCAGTGGAAGAAGTCAGAGGAAGAGTCTAAATCCTTTTCTCCTCCTCATAAAACCCATAACTGGATGGGAAAAGACCCTTTGGGAATGAAGGAGTAGCATCTGGGAGTGTGGATTTTTCCCTCTTACTTTTTTCCCCCATTTCTCCCCTCCATCAGATCCAAAGGGTGATGAGGAGAAATACAATTAACTGACACAGGAATAAGCAGAGGTGGGAGACTGGTTTACGACCTTGTCTTTTTTTATATTCCCCCTTATGTAGTTTTGCTGTTACATAGAATCTCACCACTGTTACTCAATCCTGACCTTGTAGGAAAACAAGAGAATGTTAGTCCCACAGTCATCAGCAGTCAGTGCTGCTTTATGCAAGTGAATTAATCTCTCTAGGTGGTAACTCCTTTTGTTTATAACTCTTTGTCCATAAAAATAAATGTGATTTAGGTTATATAGCTTCTTCCTTTGAGTAGGTGTCAATTCTTTGATAAAAATTCTGCATCTGTCTCATTTTAAGTCTTCTACATTGAAAGAATATCAAATACTCATAAAGATATTTTTGACTAGCAAAACATCTAAAATTAACTATAGAACATTTAGTTCAAAACTGTGATTGGTTTAATCCTATATTTGAACTCATAGAATATGTTTCACATTATGATGTACAAATAAAAACTGTTCATTACAAAAGTTTTCTTTCCATAGAACTTGTGAGATGGGGGATATTTATTATTTTGATATAGTAGCACATTTAAAATTATTTTCTAGTATTCTCATAATGATAGTGCTTTAGTGATATTTAATTAAATCTTACGTTAAAATTGCTAAAGCAAGTTATTTTCAGAAACCTTAATCAAATAGGTTTCTTAATCAAATAGAAGGCTTGGATTTGATTTAGGTAATGGGTTTCTTAACTACTGTATTTTGTCAATGCTAAGACTCAATCTTATTTCACATTTTAATATCTCTGAAATGGAAATGTCTTACATTTGAAAAAATATATATATGCATATGTATACATGCATAAATATGTGCACACACACACACGTTTTGGTTTTGATACAGTGTCCTTGGGGCTGATATTCAGTACATACCTGTATAACATACCAGAATCCTTTCTGATCGGTCAGCCCCTCTGGTTTTTGTCTCTGCCCCATATTGATTGTTAAATATTTTGAGTATCAGAAATTCTTTGATTTTTCTCCATTTTCTAAATAGTAAATAATTTATTTTTAGGTTGGAAGCTTTCTTAGAATTTATAGCCTCCATACCAAACTTCAGTCAGTGAATTCGGAGAACCAGGCAACTTCGTTAGCTCTCGAGTTTCATCTCCATGGAGGTACCAGTTATGGTCGGGGAATCAGAGTGTTGCCAGAAAGTAACTCTGATGTGGATCAACTGAAACAGTAAGCATGTTATGTAACTATTTAGAAATTCTAAATAAAGTATGAATTAAGCTGATTTCCAAAACAGTACTGTTCTGGGGTGGGGAGGAGAAATCCAATAGGTTCCTTGTAATTTTTCCTCATGGCCTTCTATGCCATTATCCATTTTTTAAAATAGATGAACCAAATGAAACAGAAATCAAGTGATTGTAGGTTCAAATGGCTAAATAATAGCAGAGCTCAGGTTATAATCTGAGTTTTCCTGTAGTTACGCACTTAGGTCTGCTCTGCACTTTTGTTCTCCTTCTCCCGTTTGCCACATTCTCCACGTACAGCGACAGTGGAAACTGGAGCTTAGCTAAAGTTGGAAAACTTGATACATATCAAGGATTCCAAACATGCTTAATTCTGCCATGAAAAAATATTACCTTTCTAAGGTGCCTATTACTGATGAAACAGGTAACAGAAGTGTTTTAGGGTATCAAAATTTTTAAAACTTTCAGATGTTCCCAGAAAGTGAATCATACCTTAAATCCTGCTAATCCATCCAGTTCTCTTTTTCCTGAAGTTTTCCTGCTGGTCACAGTGGATAGAAACTTTTGACCAGTGTTCTAGAGAAATAAAAATAAATCTTCTGCATATCTTCAAAGAGATGTAGAAAATATCCTGTTCAGTGAATTGAAATGAAAAAATTTTCTGTTTTAATATATTGAAATCAATATGACTTTAAAATCAGATTAACTAGTTTAATAATCTTATATCAGTTTCACTACTTTATTTCTCCTATTGCAATATATAGCAGCATAGATTTTCACTTCTTTAATCTATAGAGTGAGATTGTTCTGATTCAGAATGTTATTGTTCAATTCCCAGTTTATTTTTGTTTACAGTATTTCATCATCCACTGTTTCACTTGTATCTTTCTAGACAGGTTTTTTTTCAATTTGGGGTTCCTTGGAACCCCCAGATAATCTGATAACAGCTGTAGATCTTCTACTGGAGAATGCATACACGCACATAAAATTTTTTTTATATAGTTTCAGTGAGTTTTTGGTTTCTATGGGTAGAGCTAAACTGACCGTATTAACTTTGTTTTATGCAATTTAAACTTATATTCTTTCAATTATAGGGTTTTAGAATCTGCAGATTTGACAGCCAGTCAGTGTTCAGATGGTATATGTCAATCAGAACGTGAGGACAGCTTTCCAACTGTTTCAAGTAAGGACAATTTTTTAACATTGACAGTTTCTGCTAAGTAAAATGGCTTTATCAACATTAATCCTCTTTTTAAATATCTTTTTGTTAAATCCATATTCATTGTAAAGGAACATGCTAAATCTTTATCTGTGTCCTATGGGAAGGTAAACATTATTCCTCCCTTAATTGTGTAATTACATTTTCACGTTGGGGTGGTAGGGATTACTTGATTTGTGATATATGTAGTATTTATGTATATATCTTTATGTGTATATGTGTGTGTGTGTGTGTGTGTGTGTATTTATTCATTAAAAATCTGTATTTCCTAGGCAACTATTTTATCAATTTCTAAAAGAAACAAAGTTTATTTTTGCTGCTTTATTTCAAACAGCTCAAGTATTTTTTGATCATACATATCTTGTAGGTATACATGATTCCCAGTCTTAATATTGAGTTAATCAAGTGCCTAATTACAAGATATTAACAAACAGTTGGTGGTGTATTTGTATTCTTATCTACCTGAATAGGTGACTATTCAAATCTAAATTTTAAAACTCACGATCTGTAAGATTTTTTCCTTCACCACTTTGTCTTAATATCTGCTGGTATATTCTGGGACCTAGAATCTATGTCATGTTTCTAGCCCGTATATATATATATATTTTTTTTCTTTTTTTTAACGTTCTTCCTCTTTCCCTTCTGTGATCCAAAGAACCATTTTATAAGTGTTTACTCTCTTTCTATACCAGTAATGATAAGTAGTAAAATTAACATGTAAGGCTTGGTAGGCGCTTAGTCATTGCCTACATGTGTTATTATTTAATCCTAACAGCACTCCTATGATATTATTTTCTCCCTTTTATTGAAAGGAAACTGAGGCTTTGAGTGATGAGGATCATGTAATTTGCCAAGCATTACTTAGCTGTTAACTGATGGCAAAGCCAGTCAGATTCAAATGCAGGCTGTTTGGTTTTTTATACATATTTGATGTTTATTTCTTCATTCTCTCTGCCTTAAAACTCTTCACATTTCCTAGCTCCTTGGTGATGACATTTTAGCCTGATCTGTGATTACTTGAGCTACCATTAGGAAGCCAATTTACTTCAGTTGACAATCATTTGGAGACAGTATAATTCGTAATTACACTGTTTGAAGTCCTGTTTGAAGTCTTTCTCCTTTTAAAAGGATTTTTAAATTATTTTTAAATTACAAAAGTAATACATGTCATAATATCAAGTTACATAGCTTTCCCACGCCTTTACACCTGCTCTTTGAGGTGATGTTAACTGTTTAGTGTGATTCCTTCAACGCTTTTCGTGTTTATACAAATATATATCTCTATACATAAACAAATATGACTTTTCCCTCTGTTTAAAATTTTTATAAATATAAGACCATACTATACAGTTACTTTCTTTAACAATGTGTCGTAGACCTCTTTGTGGGCTAATTCTTATAACTCAAACTCATTCCTTTAATAGACACATAATATTTTATAATATGAATCTAACATTTTAAATTCAGCCATTTTCATTTGATAGACATTCTGGTTGTTTCCAGTTTGTTGCTCTTACAAATAATGCTTTAATAACCATCCTTGAGCAATTGTACTTTCATGCATTTATTTCTCTAAAATAAACTCCTAAAAGTGGAAGTATATATGTATGGATCAAAGGGTAAGCACATCTTTTATTTTAATAGATACTGGGGCTTTCCCCATGGTCTAGTGGTTAAGTTTGGCATGCCCCGCTTTGGCAGCCTGGATTCAGTTTCCTGGTGCAGTAACCACTCGTCAGCGGCCCTGCTGAGGCAGTGACCCACATACAAAATAGAGGAAGATTGGCACAGATGTTAGCTCAGGGCCAGTCTTCCTTAAGCGAAAAAGAGGAAGATTGACAACAGATGTTAGCTTGGGGCGAATCTTCCTCAGCAAAAAAAAAACAGATGCTGCTATTTTATATGCTAAAGTGTGATAGGATTCATATGTGAATAGCGGTGTAGGAGAATGTCCTTTCCTCACATTCTCAGCAGTATTGGAGGTTAACAATATACGTAATTTTTGACAATTTGGCAGATATAAGGTGATATCTTATTGAGTTTCCCTGAGTACTTGGAAACTTGAAAATATTATATATTTATCAGCCCCTTTTATTCTGTCTTCTTCGAATTGTCTGCTCTTACCCTTTACCTGATTCTCTGTTGGGTTCTTTATCTTTTTTCTTATCAGTTTGTGGCAGACCATGTATATATTTTGCACATGTTTTCTCTCATTTTCTTATGATTTGACTACTTTTAAGTTTTTTTGCCATTGTTCTCACTTCATGCAGAACGGCAGATATTAAATAATCAGATTCATTGAAATTTTTCTTTCTCAGCTTAAGATGTCCATTCAAGTTCTCTTGCCATGAACTCTTGCATCATTCGTTAGTGATGTTGAGGAAGAAAGACAAATAATGCATATGTTTGCATATGATGCCATTCAAAATAAATTATAGAAAATAATATATTATTATATGTAATAGAATGTAACCTAAAGTAATCGCAATATGTGGATACTTTTTTAAGTCTTAAGTTCTTTATTTTAGAAAGCATTATTAAAACTTATTGCTATGTTCACTAGTTATGCTTTCTTGTTAAAGTAAAATTCCTTTTTATGATGTTCATCAAGTCATCCTATTAAATTTAGTAAATTTATTACTTTATCCACCTCTTCCTGTATTTCCTTCACAGTGTATTTTTCCAATGTAATAAAAATTTTCAAACACGCAGAAAACTGAAACAGTTGTATAGTGAACACTCATATACCCACTACCTAGATTCTCCAATTAACATTTTGCTCTGTTTACTCTGTCGTCTATCTGTCTCTCTTTTAATCCATCAATCCATCTTATTTTTTGATGCATTTCAAAGTAAGTTGCAGACATAAGTACACCTCCTAAACACTTCAGAATGAACATCATTAACTGGAGTTCAATATTTGTTTAGGATTCTTTTTTATTTTTGAGGTAAAATTGTATGCAGTGAAATGGACAACTTAAGTGTACTATTCCATGAATTTTGAATAATACATAAACCTGTGTAACCTAAATCCCTCTTAAAATCCAGAACATCACCTTTGTTGCAGAAAGCTCCTTCATGCTCCTTCCTATCAATCCTCACCACGCCCCAGAAGTTCTGATTTTTTTCCACGGTAGATTAATTGTGCCTGTTCTAGAACTTCAAATAAATGGAATATATATTGTGTACTCTTGTACACACTATATGTTTTTGAGATTCATCCATATAGTTGCATATATCAGTAGTTCTTTTTTTTTTTTATTTTTTTTTATTTTTTTTGTGAGGAAGATCAGCCCTGAACTAACATCTGCCAATCCTCCTCTTTTTGCTGAGGAAGACTGGCCCTGGGCTAACATCCATGTCTTCCTCCACTTTATATGGGACGCCTGCCACAGCGTGGCCTGACAAGTGGTACATCAGTGCGCTCCCAGGATCCGAACCCGTGAATCCCAGGCCGCCGCAGCAGAGCGCACGCACTTAACCGCTTGTGCCACCGGGCTGGGCCCAGTAGTTTGTTCTTTTTGAATAATACTTAGTAGTACGGTATGAGGTAGACATTTTTTTAAATACGAATTTCCACTTGTCGTAGCACCGTTTGGTTGCATTTTTTCTGTAAGATGGCTTGAGTGTCTTTGTCAAAAATCAAATGAGTATAAATGTGGATTTATTTTTGAGCTTTCTGTTCAATACTTAGTAGTAGGTGTGAAGTAAGCACTTTTTGCCCTCATACTAATTTTCCAGTTGTTGCAGCACCATTTGTTGAAAGGAGTTTTGCTTTCCCTTTGGACTGCTTTGCTGTTTTTATTAAAAATCAAATAACCATATAAATGTGGGTTTATTTCTGGGCTTTCTAATGAATTTTGTTGATATATTTGTCAGTCTTTATGCTAGTACCATACCATATTGTCTTGATTACTATGACTTTATAGTAAGTCTTAAAGTCACGTAGTATAAGTCCTCCAATTTTGTTCTTTTTCAAGATTATGCTCTAGATTCTAGATTCTTTGCATGTCCACTTAAGTGATAGAATCTGCTTGTTGCCTTCTACAGTAAAGCCCCTGCAGTTTTGATTAGGATTGTTTTGAATCTACAGATCATTTTGGGGAAAATCAATATCTTAACAATATTGAGCCTTCAAAGTGAACATGGCTTATTTCACTATTTAGATTTTCTTCAATGTTTCTCAGCAATGTTTTATAGTTTTCATTGCTACATTGAATTTTTAGTGGATTTTAAAACTGTATAATTCTTTTTTTCTTTCTCCTTCCTATAGGCTCTGGATCAGTATCACTATATGAGGTAGAAAGATGTCAACAACTATCAGCTACAAGTAAGACCATGTTTCATTTTTGAAATATGGGTATAATAGTGAGCATAGTAAGGTCTCTCCTTACCCTTATTAACTAATTCATTCCTACCTAATATTGAGAGCAGGTATCCATTAGGACAAAAATATATCTATATTCACCTTTTATTCCTCTACCTTATCCTAACTGGCATAAAATAGAATCCAGAAAGATTTATATTTTTATGTTGAATATATATCTTAAGTCATGTATCTATAAGGTTTATAAAACATATTCTACTATATAACAGTGCGGCGGGGCTTATTTTTAGTTTGAGAGTGTAAAATATTTATATGACATTAATTTTAATTGGTTCACACTATGCAATTAGCAGTGTGTCCATAAAAGAACTCCTTACAGTACGCCCCAAAACTCTGATGTTAGCAATGATAGTAGATCTATTAGATGCCCTTCTTCTGTTACTTCAACTAAGATAAAAACATTTAAGAGAAAAGAAATTTTAAACACCAGTCTATTAAATAAACTTTGGTAATATACTATTATAAAAATATGAGTTTTTCATTATTGGAGAAAGGACATATAACTATTAAATGGGGGAAGGCTAGAAGAAGGAAGCTTGTAGTTTTGTACTGGAATTGAAGGTACCGTTATGTACTCATGGTTTTATAGATAGATACAGAAGTAGATATAGATGTGTGTTTGTATATATGTATTCACTCAAGTACATATTCATATATGTACAGATGCATGTGTCTAAATACAAGTATGAACTGAGTGCATAGGTTCCCTAGCTCTCAGTGAAAGAGCATAGAAACAATGGTACCCAGTAGCACTGAGCACACTTAGTGCACAGATCTTGGTTTATAAATAATATTCCCACTTAAAAGGAATCAGCCTCCTTGGAGAAATAGCAGATTCCAGGATTGGGAGAGGAGAATTACAAGATGAGTCTGGAACATCTTGTTGTGCCAGAAAATAAAGAAGTCTCCGTTAATGATGGAACATATCAAATCTGGTACAATTTGAGCATCAAAATAAAAAATACTGATGATGGAATAGAACTGATTGAATAAAGTAGGACTCAGGTGGTCCATGTGGATAGTGAATAAAAGAACAAAAGAAACAAATAAACGGGGCTGGCCCCATGGCTTAGCGGTTAAGTGCGTGCGCTCTGCTGCTGGCGGCCCGGGTTCAGATCCCGGGCGTGCACTGATGCACTGCTTCTCCGGCCATGCTGAGGCCGCATCCCACATACAGCAACTGGAAGGATGTGCAGCTGTGACATACAACTATCTACGGGGCAAAAGATAGTTGGGGGGAAAAAATAAATAAAATTATTAAAAAAAAAAAAAAAAGAAACAAATAAATGATGTTGAGTGGAAAGCTCTTACTTAAAATAGAATAGCAACTAATAAATGTAAAAGGAATGATAAAGTTAGGAAAAAAATCACCATTCTGCCATCATGATAGTAATAATTGATTTAGTTGTGAATCATCAATAGGTCTTAAACTAGTGGGATCCTAAATGTTTAATAAAGACTGGGATATTTATATTTTCCCAAGTACTTTATTATTATTTATAAAGGGGAAAATAGTAAGTTTATAGTAGAGAAACTTGTTGAACACCACCTTAACTAGCTGAATGAAGTTAACATCCCCAGGAATGAAAACACTACTTCATATGCCTCTTGATGTGATGCACTGAGAAGGCCACAATATCACTTATATAGTAATTTTCCTGCCAAAATCTGTATTTGATCACGAGAAAAACCAGACGTCCAAATAAATGGCCTCTACTCCTCAAATATATCAATGTCATGAAAGACAAAGAAAAGCTGAGGAACCATTCTACATTAAAGGAATCCAAAGAGACAGGAAAAATAAATGCAATGTGTGCTTCAGGATTGGATCCTGGCCCCAAAAATAAAATGCTGAATAAGAACATGATGGGGACAATTGGAGAAATCTGAATAATGTCTTTTGATTTAGTGATAATATTACATCAATATTAAATGTTCTGATGTTGAAAATTGCACTGTAATATGTCAATGAAATTTCTTATTCTTATGCAATACACACTGAAGTATTTAGGGGTAAAGGGGCATGAGATCTGGAAATAATTCTCAAGTGATTCATATATATGTATATATATATGGAGAGAGAGAGAAAAACACGATAAATCAAATGTGGCAAAATGTTAACAAGGTTGACAATTAATAGAACTTTAATTAGATTTTATTGTACATATTTGGTTCAGAGGGATTCATATCATTAATATACTTATTATTCTTATAGATTATTCTAACTTAATCTGAAAATTCTTTATAGTACTTACAGATCATCAATATTTGGAGAAAACTCCAGTGTGTGCCATTTTGAAACAAAAAGCTCCTCAACAATATCGCATCCGAGCAAAATTGAGGTCATACAAGCCCAGACGACTTTTTCAGTCTGTTAAACTTCATTGTCCTAAATGTCATTCACTGTAAGTATTTTCCATAATAAAACAGAAGTTTTCTTTTCATAATGTTTGTGTATATACATTTTCATATATACCAGATTAAGTCCTAGCAATGAGTAAATTGTGATTTTATATATTGTATTTCGAAAGAATGGTAATGTTTTTAAGAGAAAATACTAAAATCTTAGCAAGTAAATCATCTGGTATTTCTTATAATAATAAATAAAAGTAGGTGCTCTTTTCAGTTCAATTTAGTAGCTCTCATAAATGCAAACAAATAATAAACTATGAAACTATTTGGGGAGAATTTCTCATTTGTCACAAAAAAATCTTAAAAGCAAACCATTATTAATTAAAATTCTTAAATAAAAAATTCTGCTTAGTCAAAATTTCTATGTAAGTGATATAGAAAGCCTTGGAACTATTTCTGTCCTGTTTAATAACTATAATATAATAAATACAATTTAAATATTTTTTAGTAATTGAGAATTTCTCAATGCCTCCAAGTCTTTATTCCAAACATCAATTACATAAATATACAAATAAATTTATAAGACATTAGAATGAATATACACTTAGTAGATGGAGACATATTCTGAAAGTTAGTTTTAATCCCTCTTTCTCTTTTTTATGCAATTTGACTTTGTTCCCTCTAAACATATAATGTGTAAATATATATACATCTCTATTATATTTGTGGTGTATATATTGTTTTGTGTGTGCTTCTGTGTACACTAATACACACATATTTTCCCCTCAAAAATCTAAGTGTAATACTGTTTGTGGAGATTTTGATCATCAGATCTTGTTAAATAAAATGGGGGACTGTCTTCTACCCATTTGAGCTTAAAATGATAGTTGGAATTAAAATATAAATACAGATTTTAGATAATTCTTGAAGTACTATCAAATTATATAAAATCATATAGCTTTTCCAAACAAAACCACTCTCTATGATCATTTTTGGAACAAATAAGGAAATCATCTCAGAAAGATTGAGAGGTGTTATGTAGCTGGTTGGTGACAGAACCAGGACAAGGACATAGACCTTTTGATTCCAGATCATGCCATTTCCTCTGTATCATACTTTACCATGTGACTTTTTAAAATTATTATTCTAGATTAAAAGGAATCAAAAGGAATATTGGGGGCCAGCCCAGTGGCATAGTGGTTAAGTTGGTGCACTCTGCTTCGGTGGCCCGAGGTTCACGGGTTTGGATCCCAGGCACAGACCTATGCACTGCTTATCAAGCCATGCGGTGGTGGGCGTCCCCCATATAAAGGAGAGGAATATGGTCACGGATATTAGCCTAGGACCAGTCTTCCTCAATAAAAAGAGGAGGGTTGGCAACAAATGTTAGCTCAGGGCTAATCTTCCTCACCAAAAAAAAAAGGAATATTGGTTTGTAAAATAGGTGCCTTATGAAAGTGAGATTACTTAGGTGGTAAGTGGATATTTAACTAGAGGGAAGAAAGGGGGCTGCTGCATTTTTTTCTCCCACTAGGAAGTTTAGCACTCCCTTACAGAGGTGAACAAATTGGTGCTAGAAATAATCGTAAGTAACCTTGGTATCACAAAACCAGGCAAGGAAATTGCTGGTGGTTAATGTTATTATGGTATGGATCTACTTAGCCATGAAATATCATCAAATATATTTCTATTGAATGAGTCAATCTGCATAGTAAATTATCTCCATATTTTAAAATAAGTAGTTGGCTCATCAGCATATAAGCCAATTTTTTTTAATTGGATAATTTGTTAAATTTGAATTTCCAAGTTTACACCAAATGTGTTATTTCATTGTCAATTTTAGGCAAGAAGTACCACATGAGGGTGATTTGGATATAATTTTGCAAGAGGGTGCAACTAAAACCCCAGATACCAAATTACAAAACACATCATTATATGATTCGAAAATCTGGACCACTGAAGATCAAGGAGAACGAAAAGTAGCTGTTCATTTTGTGAAAAATAATGGTATTCTCCCACTTTCACATGACTGTCTAATTTTGATAGAAGGTAAGATATTTAAGTTACTGTTTTATTAGAATACAGCTTTTGCTTATGTCTTTCTCTGATTATTGTTAAATATATTTTAGGGACAACCTAGGACATATAAAGTCAAAATATTGTTAAATTTCATAAAATGGAATATATTATATAACAATTAAATATATACATGTACACATATTTATAAATTTATCTGAATGACATTTTGAAATTATACGTTAAACTCAAGTGTTTGCATTTGTCCATCTTGTTGGATTTCTGCGTGTAATCTTAATCAGATCCAAGTTGATTGTCGAGCTGAGTGCTTGTTATGTACAATTGCTATCATCTTGGCCTCTGGATGTCACTGTTGTTTCATAAAAATAGAATGAGTCATCTATTGATATCTAAATCAAGGAAGGGACCCTTGAAACAGGTAAAGATAACTTGACATGTTTTAAAAGAATGAAACTTTGATTCCTTTTTATTTTTGCATTTCCTTTCCACTGTTGTCTTATTTTTATCTAATATTTATCTAATATTCATACCACATATTTTTCCCATCCCGGATTTAAAGTTTCATTGTTTTCCTTGAGACTTTTCTTCCTTAATAATATTCTATAATAAAAGGAAAACATCATCTTTAATTTGCATTAGAGAAATATTTAGTTTCATTTTATAAATGAACTGACTTTTAGTACAAAGATTTTTATTACTGACATTTTTCTATTTATAAAAGTAATACATAATCATTTTAGAAAATATGTATTTATATATGAATACACATGTATATACACATTGGTATCATTTTCATGAACACCTCTTGTTTTAGTACGTTTTAGGGTACTAGAAACTATTTTGATTAATTTCTGTGTATTAATTCATTTAGTCATCATCATAATTCTATGCAGTTGGTACTATTATAAGCTGTTTTTTATACATGAAAAAACTGAACCACAGAGAACTTAAATGTCTTTCCCAATACAGATAATTGATTAATTTCTAGAGTTCTGAAAAAGTCAAATTTGTCAGTTTTTGGCAATGTTCTTTTTGCTTTTTTGGAGAAGTGTATTTTTGGATGTCCTTACTCTGCCAAAAGTGCTTCCCCCTCACAATTGAATTTTAACATTACAAATTTTACACAAGTTTTAGGAAATACACAGAACTGTTTTTATAAATCAGAGTCTCTTTCTCTGGAGAGGAAGAATTATCAATCTAAGTGAAAAGTACACAGAAAAGGTACAAGTAGGTTTGAGTTATCATAGATAATCTTGCCTTCTAATAATGGTGCACCATTGGAAATACTATATCTTCTCAGCCAACATAATGGTTTTCATGCCCACCCTGTGATAGAATTAGGGAAAGTGTGATGATTTTCCCAGGAAGAGTGAACAAACACTATACATGAATTCATATTGCATGAACTATTTATATCTCTATTTAAATTTAATGTTGATCTGAAAGTTTAAAAGATTTATTTCAAACTCAAGGCTGAAATGTGCCTACACATTAGTAGTGTATAGGAAATTTAATAATGAGAATCCTGTCATCCTTTGGCTCTCAGTTTTTCTCTCTTGTGAGTATTTGAACCAAAGTGTTCCTGGCATGAAGAGCAATTTGTATAAATTTAAGAAGATGGTTAAAATTTCAGAAGCCTTATATTTTGCTCAAATCTCAGCATTTTTGCGCACTGGTTTCTTTAATCAGTGTATAGGATCCTAAGTTTACAAATTATTGTTTTTCACAATAAATGTATAAGTGTATTAAACATCTAAATTCATGGCTTTTCTTGTCTTTTTCTGTCAACCCCCTTAATCTTTTACTATACCTCGTGTTATTAGGTACTCCATTTTGCCTACATTATATTCGTGCTACTTGAAGGGTTTGTTTATTCTCTTTTAATAGGAGGTACACTCAGTGAAATCTGCAAACTCTCAAGCAAGTTTCATAGTGTAATTCCTGTGAAGTCTGGCCACGAAGACCTGGAACTCCTTGACCTTTCAGCACCATTCCTTATACAAGGAAAAATACATCACTATGGGTATGTTTTCAATTCTGGAAATTTCTAGAATTAAAAACTCTTTCAGAGTAATTTTTATTTCTATTAGTTTATCTCACTAGTTACTATATATTCAATAGATATTTATTGAGTACCAATTTATATGTACTAGATTTTTCTGGTATATATTTATTGTTTTGATAGCATACATGTTGAGTACCTACAGTGTGCTGGGTAGAAGGCTTCCCAAGAGGCTAATATTCATTTGTTTTCTTTCACAAAGATTTAGCTACTAGTTACACAGAAAGGTTCAGAGCTGTATCCTAGTAAAAGTTTAGTGATTGAATTCCAGAATTTCTGTGCCACAAAGTTACAAATTAGTTGCCGCTAAGAAATTGGAAGATAGCAGGATACATTTGGAGCTAGAAACAGACTTGCCTTTCAAGAAACTTCTAGTCTCTCTTGTACCTTTTTAACTCTGTGGTTTATTTTGTTTTACAGATTTTTAAAATATTAATATAGTCACATTTACCAAAATGTTTGTCAAAACCTTAAAGGTTTTACTTACTTTACTTAGATTTCTGGACCTGATGCTTTTTTAATAGCATTTGGACTAATGCTTCAGTTTCTTTAACAGTTATACATCTTTTAAGGTTTTCTATTTCTTCTTGAATCTATTATATTAATGAAATTTTTCTAGAAAAATACTCATTTATTTTTTAAATTTATTGACGTAGAATTGTTCATAGTACTTTTTGATGATTTTTAAATCTCAAAATCCACTTAATATTATTTGCACCTTTTTTCTTGACCTTTTTTGCCAAAGCAACTAGCTTTTTGTTGATGCTATTATTTTACTCTTGTTCTTATCTTTATTTTCTTCCTTTATTTTCTTTAAGTTTCCTTGGTATTTCTTTTTCAAATATTTTTAATTGAATGCTTACTTTACTCAATTCATTAATTTTTAACACTTTTTAAAATATTTATATTTAAGTCTCTAATTTTCCCCCTGAGGAAACAGCCATGGCTTTAACCCAAGATTTGACATGTAGTGTGTTTCTTGCCCCTTCTAAATGTTTCATAATTCCCATCATGATTTCTTCTTTAGCCTATGTATTATTTAGCTGTGTATTTTTAAATTTTCACACAGGTATCTTAGTGCTATGTTTTTGTTTGTATTTTAGTTAGATTACTTTTTAACCAAATAGTGTGATGCATTTCCTAATGATTCTTTGAGATTTATTTTGCTTTGTTTTATCCTAGAATATATTCATTCAGATTTTGTATGTATCGTGTAGATGTTAAAAAGAATGTGTATTCTTTAATAGTTGTGTTTAGTAATAGTGTTTAGTTATGTCTGTTAGACAGGCTTGTTAATCATATTCAAAACTTCTTTTTCCTTTATAATTTTGTCTGTTTAATTACTTCTTAGAGAGTATGCTTAATGTCCTCTCTGGTTGTGGGTTTGTGACCTTTTATTCTGTCAATGTTTGCTTTATATATTTTCAGGCCCTTTTGCTGGTTCATTCAGGTTCAGTGTTTCCTTTTCCTGGTGAATTAATTGTTCTGTATATCCAGATGCAATCATCTCTAATCATGATTTTTTACCTTAACATTTTTTTTTTCTCAAATTTTTATTACTCTATAAGGGGGTTTTTTTGGTTGGTAATTGCTTGATATCTTATTCTCATCCCTCATTTCTTTGTTGTTATATTTTAGTAGGTCTCATAAATAAATACTTAGGACTAGATTTTATTTGTTTCTTAATAGATGAGTTTAAAATATGTTAATTATATATTTAGGTTTTATTTCTAAATTTTATGTTGTTTTTCACTTATACTATTACTGTTTCCCTCTCCCCCCTCCTTTTTTGTTATTATTTTGCTTATTTTTTCCTCCAGTCTTCTTTGGATTGTTTTTTAAAAATGTTCTTAATTTTCTCATTTTCCTCTTCTACTGCTTTGGAAGTAATGAATTCTCTATTTAATTTTTACTCATTACTCTTAATTTTTAATTTTGGTACTTAATTTTTAATTCGTGTTCTTGCTTTATCAATGTCTAAAGTTAATATCACAGCGTTTTTTTTAAGGCAGTAATACTCCTTTATTCAATTACCTTTTTTTGATAAAGAAAAATCTTCTTTGTATGTGAAGGATGGAAGGGGATAACATTTCATACAGTTACCCTCTATTTTTCCCTAGATTGCAAATGAAAAGGAGTCTGCATGAACTTTTTAAATGTTGATTTTATATTTTTATTCAAGCATATTTTCTTATCAACATCTAAACATTATGATGATATATAATAAAAAATAAATTACTTGTACTTAAAATATCTTTGTATGTAAGTAAAGCAAAATACCATACTAAATAATGTACAATTTTAGTATATTATGTGGTTTTAGATTGATTTTATATTACAAAGGAGAACTATAGTATTAGGCATCATAAACTGTGAACCTCTAAATACTGAATATATTACCTAAAATCTTGTTAGTACTGACTTCTTTAGTCAGAATAATTTTTTCCTATTGGTATATTTAATTAAGACCTTGGCTGTTATATATATTGTTCACAGAAACATAAAATGAAAGAGTCCTTAGAGATTGTCTCTTTAAACTTTTTCCTTTTACCAAATAAGGAAAGTAACCAAATTAATTAACAATCTGGACCTGGAACCTCTCTCTTATTCTCAATTTAGTTTATTCTGAACCATATTACCTTTTTGATTGTTTCTATTATATAAAGCTTGTTTTTTGTATAATTCTGTAATATGCACATTACAACATAGGAGGTGTATTACTCTTTTGTTTAATAATTGACTTTTTTCTGTGTGTGTGTGTGAGGAAGATTAGCCCTAAGCTAACATCTGTTGCCAATCCTCCTCCTTTTGCTAAGGAGAACTGGCCCTGGGCTAACATCCGTGCCCATCTTCCTCTACTTTATATGGGACACCGCCACAGCATGGCTTGATAAGCAGCGCGTCAGTCTGCGCCCAGGATCCGAACCCATGAACCCTGGGCCACTGAAGCGGAATGCACGAACTTAACCACTACGCCACTGGGCCAGCCCCAGTAATTTACTTTTTAAACTGTGCATGCTTAAACGGCAAAATAAGTTATAATAATTAAATGGGTTATAATAATTAATTATAATAGATTATTTTCAAATGTTTATGGTTTTTTTCTTTTATTAATTTCAGATGTAAACAGTGTTCTAGTTTGAAACCGATACAAAATCTAAATTCCCTGGTTGATAAAACATCATGGATTCCTTCTTCTGTGGCAGAAGGTTAGCTGGATTTCTATGTTCTGCAATTTTAATTGTCTTTGTATGAGGTGATCTCACTCATTATATTTCAATATTTGTGGATATATATAGTAAAACCAGAGCAAAGGCTTAGCTCAAGTTTAATTTTCCTCAAACAAAACCATTGACAATGATTGTAATAAAAGTATAAGTGTGTAAAATATTTGAAAACTTAAAGCATATGCTAGTATCTTTTAATCATTTGTTTTACTATTAATCATTAATCATAAATACAACTTCTGAAAAAATCTCTCCAGTTCATAGTATCTTGAGATTGAAAAGGGTTTTAGAGATAGCTATTGCAACTTTTTACCCAATACAAGTCTTTAGCTGGAACAAGAATACTTTTATATCATGTTCCTAACTGTTCTCATCCAGCCTTGGCTTAAAATTCTTTCAGTGGCAAGGGACTCATTACATTGCAAGGCAACATATTCCCTTAATTTCTAGGCAATTCTTAATAGTGATGCAAGATCTGCCTACCTATAATTTTAACATGTGCCACAGTCTGTGTACTAGAATTAGTGTGTACCTCTACCCTCTTGTGTAAGATCAACAGACTTTGTACATTTGAAAATATCTGTGAAGCCTTCATTGAATCTATTCTCCAAGCAGGCACCCTCACTTCCTTTGGTACTTTCCCACATTCTTTACTATTTTATTTCTCCTGCTTAGGAAACACACCACTTTACCAATGCTTTTCTCAAAGTTTGGCATTCAAAGCTGGAAATAGGGCTGCAGATGTTGGCCAATTCAGAATATGAAGAAACCTTTATTGCCCTAAAATTGTACTCTCTGCTTCTACTAGCCTGAAAATTTCATTGTATAAATATTTATTTGTATACATGGTTTTGTTTCCTTTCTCTTTTAATTCGGCTATATGATACTCCTCTCTCGTATTTTGTTTGTGGTCCAGTGCAATTCCAGATTACTTTCACATGAGCTTCTTGCTATCAAGCTTGGTCTCCCCATTTCTTAATGTAATTCTTTGTTTGTGTGGTCCCTCAGGGTAGGTTTTATGTTCATCTTTCTTGGTTTTAGCTCACAGTTTTAACCTATTGAGACCTTTTGAATCTTAAAAATCAGTTCCTCTGTAGTAACAATTTCTGTCATGTCTGTATGCCCTAATTCAGTTCTATATGCCCTAATTTAGTCTTCTTACTTGCCCCCTTAATTAGTCCTATTTAAATATGGATTTCACAAATAGAAGACAATATTCTCTTCTATAAACATATCTTCCATTTCCAAACACGAAGTAGGATGTTCATTTTAACCTATAAATTTTCATATGATTTAATATATCTTTAATTTCTTCCTTTTTCCTCATCTTACCAGATTATGAAATCCCAGATTCTAACATTTTTGTCTAAACAAAAATATTTTTGTCTAACCAAATGATTTCTCCCAAAAAATGAGTGATCTAAGAGGAGAGACATGTTCCAAATCATAAATATTGAACTGCATTCTATTCTTTTAGAACTGGTATTTTAATTTTATCTTTCACAAGGCTAACATGCAATGAATTGCATTTCATGAATCAGTTTTTAAGTTTTCTTTCAAGATCAACTTGTTTTAAAGGTAATTATATTAATATTTAATCAAAAAAAGATACTATTGCTCATGAGTCATTGTCCCTGTATAGGTATAGTGTAATGTTTCAAAATGAACCTGCTAAAATGAGCTTAATATTGGAAAACAAAAAGGCATATGTGTAAGTTTTTCTTTCTCTCAAGTTATTTTAGTAAACAAAATTAACAGGTACATACTATCATAAAACAATTTTTACTTTACTTTGATTATTAGGAATGGAAGATTCATATGGTTTGATCTTTTTTTCCTTCACTAGTACTGGGTATTGTACCCCTCCAACATGTGTTTGTGATGACATTTACTCTTGACGATGGAACAGGAGTATTGGAAGCTTATCTCATAGATTCTGTAAGTAACAAAGGTAGTGAAGATATTTCTAACTAAAAAATAATACTTTTTGAATTTTAATGTATTCATTCATGCCTACTTTATTACTGAGAAGATTTAAGGCAATTTAGAAGAATAAATAAAATACAAGTACATAAATCACGTGTGTATTTAGAGGGAATGAAATTACTTTGATAGGGAGATAGTTATGTTGTGTGAAGCTAGGAAACAGTCCACAAGACTGCCCTCATTTCTGACAACAATTCCAAGTTTGATGGTTCCCAAGACTGTGCGCACTTCTGATACCAGTCACAAGTTTAGAGGTCCCCAAGACCACTCTTACTTTTGATAATTCAGACTCAAAGAACTTACTGAAAGCTATTATAACTCACTGTTATGGTTTATTACAGCTAAAAGATACAGATTAAAATCATCCAAGGGTAGAGGTGCGTAGGGTAGAGTCCAGGAAAGTTTCAACGTGGAGTTTCTGTTTGTCCTCTTCTGGTAGAGTAGTAGACAGTGTTACTTTCCTGGCAATGATGTATAACAGTACACATGGAGTATTGCCAACCTGGGAAGCTCAACCAAGTCTTAGTGTCCAGAGTTTTTATTGGAGCTCCATCATGTAGTCATGGTTGACTGCCCATGTGACTGATCTCAGTCTTCAGCCCTCCATATGTCAAGCTAATACCACGTGCCTAAACTCCCCACCCTAAATCACATTGTTAGACTATCCAGTGTGACCCAAGGTCCCCAGACAAACAAAGACACTCCTATCAGGCATGACATTCCAGGGGCTTAGAGATTACCTCCCAGAAGCCAAGGGCAAAGGCCAGTAAGGTTAAATTTTTTACTGCATACATTGGGAAAGAACCTGGGGTGAGGTTGAGAGGAGAATTTGTCTCCTGCCTAACAATTCATTTATCCATTTATTAAATAAATATTTAGTGAGCACTGCTATGTACCAGGTACTGTTCTACGTGTTGGAGATGTAGCAGTGAGCAAAGCAAGCAAAATCACTTCCCTCCTGAAGCTTATCATCTAGTAGAGGAGAAAAAAAATTGAACAAGTAAATGTATGCTATATGTTATACTCTTTTTTTTTTTTTTTTTTGGTGAAGAAGATTAGCCCTGAACTAACGTCTGTTGCTAATGCTCCTCTTTTTGCTGAGGAAGATTGGCCCTGGGCTAACATCTGTTCCCATCTTCCTCTACTTTATACGTGGGACGCCTACCACAGCATGGGTTGATAAGTGGTGCATAGGTCTGCAGCCAGGATGTGAACCCTCGAAACCCCGGGCCGCGGAAGCAGAGAGCGTGAACTCAACCACTACACCACCGGGCCGTCCCCTGTTATACTCTTTAAAACTTAACACACGTTGTAGGCACTCAATATATATGCCTATCAAGAGAATAGTAAGCCTCACTGTTTTCCAATCATCATTATTCTTATTATGAAGTCAAAGCAGTTTAACTGGATTTTGTATATATATCTCAAAGCTGTTTTTAGATTAAAGTAGTAAATGAGATTTTAGAGTTCAGACTAGACTCCAGTTTGTGAATTCTACAATCTTGATAGAGTGAAATAGTCTAGATTATTTTAATTAGATAGTATTGAAATACTTTTGTGTTGATTATAATTTTAGAAAGAGATTAATATCATTTCCTTTTTTCTTCTATAATTTTTTTTAAGGACAAATTCTTCCAGATTCCAGCATCAGAAATCCTAATCAATGATGACCTTCAGCACAGTATGGATATGATCATGGATATGTTTTGTCCTCCAGGATTAAAAATTGGTAGGCAACAGTATTTTAACAATATCATTCATTTTTTTTCTTGAAATGACACCTAGCATATATCTAATATATGAACTTTTAGAGGTATGAAAACTTTGAAATCTAAATCTAAATAAATTACTAAGTAGTCATTGAGTACTGTATGATCTACCTTTTGATGAAGACAGTGGCAGGAATAAAATAGGTATGAATCATAATTCCTGAAGTGAAAATATTTTTTAAATATTTTTAAATGTAATAAAGAGGGGGCTGGCCCGGTGGCGTAGTGGTTAAGTTGCGTGCCCTGCTTCAATGGCCTGGGGGTTCACAGGTTTGCATCCTGGGCACAGACCGACGCACCGCTTGTCAGGCCATGCTGTGGCAGCATTGCATATAAAGTAAAGAAAGATGGGCATGAGTGTTAGCCCAGGGCCAATCTTCCTCAGCAAAAAGAGGAAGATTGGCAACGGATGTTAGATCAGGGCTGATCTTCCTCACACACGCAAAAAAAAATATATGTGTGTGTATGTGTGTATATATATATATATATAAAAAATAAAGGAGAGGCAGCTTTGATCACAAGCACATTTGGTACTATGTTTATGCATACAAACATTTTGGTTGAAATTATACCAAGAGGGATGAAATTTTGATAAGAAACATTTCCTGTAACTGTTTAGCCAGTTTAATTCACTGATGAATTTTCTATTCAATATTAGGTAGTTTCAGATTTTACAAGTTTTTATTTTATTAATTATTTTTATCAGCTTTAGTTGTTTTCTGTATAACATTGGATTCATCAACCAGATCTTCAGGTCAGATTATATTGATTGCACCTACTGCCACTGAATTCCTTTTGTGGCCATTGTTTCTGTTTACGTTGAAACTTGCAGATCTAAATCATATTAAGACAATTTGGCTCTTCTAAGAATTTTTCAGCAGTAATGAATATTACCAGCTGCAGATTTAGCTGTTGTCAGTTTAACTATTATAGGTTACTTTTTTGTGTGTGTGTGAGGAAGATTGGCCCTGAGCTAACGTCCATGTCCGTCTTCCTCTACTTTATATGTGGGACTCCACCACAGCATGGCTTGATAAGCAGTGCATAGGGCCACGCCTGGGATCCGAACCCGTGAGCCCCAGGCCGCCAAAGCAGAGCACACGAACCTAACTACTACGCCAGTGGGATGGCCCCCATTTTATAGGTTACTTTTAATCAGGCTTTATTTTCCCCTGGTCAATCTTTGCATTTTATAACAATTCCAAAAAGATAATTTTTTTACATCTGTAACAAATTTTAACTTACATACTTTTGTTTAATGTCACTTTTAATTTTTTTTGGCTGTTTGGATTCTTTTGGGTAGATTTCTGGAAATAAACTGTTGTATCAGAAAGCACAGGCCTAGTAGGCTTTTGATACATGCTGCCAGATTGTTTTCCAAAAATGCTTTACCTATTTCTAGTTCTTCCAGCGGTGTAACAGAGTGCCTCTCTTGCTTGACCCTTGCCATTACTGAGGATTATATTAAATGTCTTACAAACTCAAACTTGAAGAAACATGAAGAAAACTTTTCTAGAAGTTACGAGTATATTTACTGTGGTCATGACCAAAGCTTGGAAATAGCGTCTATGGCTGCCAATATTGCCTGGACACAATAGCTGGTACCTCATGGGAGTTTCAGCTATATGGGTGTAAGGTCTTGAGCTCATGTGAACTTCAGGGTCAGGTTTTTTGCAGTCAGCCAAGAAAAAAAAAACCAAGGAGGTCAGTAAGCAATCAGCAGGAAAAAAAGGAATAAAAACTGGGGAGGAGATGGCTTACTAAACCCTCGCTATCAGACATTTTGAAAACCCCACATTTAATTGCTTTTTCCTGTTGTTGGGAAAAAATTCAAATTAGAATTGCTGCAAAACAATAACATGAATCCACTGTGTATTTGGAAGAGTAGTTAAAATTTGGTAGGTGTTTATTTTTCAAGTTAAATTAAATATGTTAATTTTTCCTGTTAAGCATTATGCTTAGATACATATTTCAGAGTTATTTGTTTAGTTTTAATGGTTAAAGAGCATTTTCTTTTTGATTTGTAGATGCGTATCCATGGTTGGAATGTTTCATCAAGTCGTATAATGTCACCACTGGAACAGAGCAGCAAATTTGCTATCAGATTTTCGACACCACAGTTGCAGATGATCTTATCTGATATTGACATTTAACTTAGCATATGTAAAATATTGTAATTTTAGAAAACATTACTATTTTCTGTGAGTTTGCTATAAAATACATAAAAGGTTTAGCTCTGTAGTTTATTTTCCATTTTAACCGCTATTTAAAATTTTTTTTGACAAATAGACTTTGTGTTATCTTAACACCCTCTTCTAAGTTAAAAATGTTCCCGTTGCTCAAGATATCTAGTATGATGGCTGCTAGGGATGTAAAAGATAGAGAGACATTGAATAAATAAGGACTGTGTTTTCATTTACTCTTTGCAGTCCTTTCAGAGAAGCTAGTTTACTCCCCTGCACTATAAATCACTGTCCCTATTGGCTTTCCCGTGTGTCGGCCGCTCATTTCTCCGCCATCCACCATCCCTGCTTGAGCTGCTTTTCCTGCTCTGATTTTCATATCGGCAATGTTGATGATTTTAGCATGAGTGTGGGATTAGAAAATGTCCTTACCTTAATCTCTCAGCTTTTACTGAGTACAAGGTATGTAGTGGCTTGTGGTTTGGTTTGGTTTTGTTTTTGTACAAAGGGATCTGCTTAAACAAGTACTCCTTAAAGAAGTGCTTGTCTGAGTGAGTTATCGTGGACTTAAAAGAGTGATTTACTTTAAGTGGAAGTGGCGGGATTGCTTTCTTTGGGTGCTGATATTGACCAATTTAGGATAAATCCAGCTTTTCAGACCTGAATTATGTGCTTTGATTGCTTGTTTCTCTACATGATATTAGAAGTCATTCCATTCCTCTTCAGCCTAATAAAGTGGTGAGATTTACAGTGTTAGTGACTTATTTATATTACCCTTTTCTTATTATGTAACATACACTTATATTTCAGGTTGAATATTGAATGAGATGTTAACTCAGTATAATAGTCCGCTTTTTACCTGACGATATTTGTCAAATTTAAAATCATGAATATTCAGTTTTATACAAGTACTTTTATATATTTGTATATATGTGTAGATTTATGTATATTATTTGCTAAAGACTCAGAGATTCAGATCTGTCTAGTTCAGTATTCATGAAGAATAAATAAATGCACACATTTCATCTGTTTCGTTTATTTGCCCTGTGTTGAGCTGAGGCATGATTTGAGGCAAAGAATCAAAGCGGGTATGTCTATGTGGCAGAAATGTAGGACTGTCTGCACAGCCAGTACTGGGCTAAGCACTTAACATGTATTTGAGTTTCACAAAAACCCATATTCCTGATAAGAAAACTGAGACTTGATTGATGAGCTGATTAACTATGTTAAACAATTGTTAAATGCTAGTCAGTACTTGAATTCAGATAATCTCTGTTCAGCGTCTGCACTGTTAACCACTCCAGTTAGCACGGAGTTTTCCACAAATGATTCCTCCCTTAAATATCTGAAGTAACATTGGAAATAGATTATAAGAGGAGTCAGTGGTGTATTGTCTTATACTAACCAAAAGGCTTTTTAAAAAAGGATTGAATATCTGATTTTCTCTGCTCGTAATAACTCTAAATTCTGGTTCCTGAGTACATTAGTACATCTCCAGACCCAACTAGCCATCTCCTCCGTCACTGAATTGTCAGCTTCTTTGAGACAGTGAAAGAGACTGATGCTGCTGTTTGCGGATGTCAACTCTTGGTTCAAAACACATTCAAGGAAAGATTTTAAGAACCCTACAATTGAACAGATATATTTTGGTATTGATGGTGTGCTAGGGATGCAGAGGTGAGAGAGACGTTTTCTCTTCCTTCAAGAAGCACCCAGTGGAGAAGAGCAGGGGTCATGGGTGCAGCGGGCTCACAGTGTGGACCTACGCTATCTCCACGTTAGTGAAGTAAAGCTCTTCCTATGAATCTTCATGATGATAGACTATTTCCCTTTTTCTTTTTTTTTTTTGTTATAAACCCCCACATTGTCATTTCGTTTTGTTTTTTAACTTTTCAATTTTTTTTTTTTTATTTCCCCCCCCCCCAAAGCCCCAGTAGATAGTTGTATGTCATAGTTGCACATCCTTCTAGTTGCTGTATGTGGGACATGGCCTCAGCATGGCTGGAGAAGCGGTGCGTCGGTGCGCGCCTGGGATCTGAACCTGGGCCACCAGCAGCGGAGTGCGCGCACTTAACCGCTAAGCCACGGGGCCGGCCCTAACTTTTCAATTTTGAACAACAAGAATTCCGTCAACACTTAGGGTTTAACCAGTGTACCCTAATCGGGAACCTGGAGTGTTAGGAGAATTCTGTTTCTGGAGCAACAACTAGACAGTAGTTGATCGTGCCCAGATTTGAGCCCTGTTACCCTTTATTGTCCATGTGAATATTGGTAGAATCTTCCTGTCAGATTTAAAATTACATCCATTTAAGAAAGCAATTTGTGTACAGCCTCTTCCTCAATTTCCAGCCTCTGCAGCATCCGTTGTTTAGACACTACTGGATTGTCTCATGTGGCCCCTGCACTGTTCTCTATGAGGAAGAGAACGCGTGTCATAGAAAATCGGAGGCAGTCAATTATTCTTTATCTAGATACACTGCTTGCAGGCTCTTTCTGTGGTCACCCTCACTGTGCTGCCTTACTTGAGGGAACTGTACGTGCTGAGATGCAGTGCATAGTTCCGCATTTCTTTGTACCCCTGGTCGTGTTGCACATGGGGAGTTGTTTCTGAATGAATATAGAAAGACTGGTGTTGATGAAATAGAAGAAGCTGAATACATGTCTGTCCACCTGAGAAAGCAGTCTCCACACAACAGGGCACTGGCTGCCTCATTTTCAAATCAGTGGAGATCCTGTGCCGTAGCTACTTGCACATCGCAGGAATGGGCCAAAATCTTTTCCCTGCCTGCTTCCCGGCTGACTGTGCCATTCTGTTTCCGAAGTCAAAGCGTGAGTTTGTCACTACTTGGGGCTCTCAATCCAGCCACTTCTCTTCTACACTTTATGAACACTTTCCTTGGTATCTGGGGGAAAAGCTAGATTCTTCTGATTATTTTCAATGTTTTGAATTTTGACCATGCATTTCATCGTTTTGTTTTTATCCAAATTTTTTTTAATGAAAGTAATATGTACTTGTAAGAATTTGAAACAACATAAAGTATGTCAAGTTGAACTAATTCCTGCTCTAACTAGTACCCCAGAGGAAACGACGTGTAACAGTTTGGTATATAATTTTCCAGTTTGTTTTCCCTAAGAACATATAAGTACATGTATGTATACATTTTTTAAATAGCATCATGCTATAAATATATTTCTGCAATTTGCTTTTGTCCCTTTATAGAGTAGGCTTTGTTTTCTTATGTCAATACACATAGAGGGAGAAACTTGTTTGTAATTACTCAGCATAAGTAACTTTTTAGTGGGGAATTCTCTGAATATTTCATTTTCTATTTGTGTAGTGGTTTTTGGTCTATTTAAGTGTTCTATTTCTTATCATCGTGCCATTTTTGTAGTTTTATATTTTTATAAGAATGTATTTATGTTATCTGTTTTGTTGATTTATTACCTTATCATTATTCATAATATTATTTTATTATTATTTTAGTCTGTATTTTATCTGGTCTTATGTTCCTTTGAATAAATCTGGTGCCCTGGGACCTGGTTTCACTATCTCCTGGAGGTTTTCAGGTGATCAGAAGTTTGGAAGCCTGTCCAGACTTCCTAATTCAGATTAGGACTCTGCCATGACACAGTTGTCTTGAAATGTTCTTTCATGCTTTAGAGAACTCATTGTGAAAAGAATTATGTTAATGTAAGGAAGGAAAACGCCTTCTGTAATGCTTTTCATTAGGAAATTCAGGCTCTATGAAGGCTATGATGAGTCACACTAAAGTTCTAGAACATCATTTTAGGGGAAATAAAAATATCTCTTCCTGTGCTGGCTCCTCAGGATCTCTGGATAGTGTCAAAGCCTCCTACCCATTCCAGGAAAAAGGAGAGCTCGTCAGTCAGTAAAATCTGGGCGTAGTGATCTTCTCTTCCCTCTGGTACTTGGAAATAGTACCAGAACTCACTGAGCAGGAGCTCACTGGTGTGCTCAGGTATGTGAGATCAGATCTTCTGGCAGTCAGGAAATGAGTCAGTAGCACTATGTATTATTTTTCCCTGCAGTATTGTGATTTAAGCGGTTAGGAAATTCAAGATCACTTAGCGTTTCAAAGTGATGATCATCTTACATGGAGATTAATGTCCCTTCCATTCAGGACTGCATTTGATGGGTTGAGAAGTGTTTAGGCATCAGTTACAATGATAAGGATAATGCATCAATGTGTATGGGAGCTCTCCCTCCAATGTGCCAATTGGTGGAACATGGATAGTTCAGAGACTCTTCTGCTATTTTTAGACTATAGCAACATCTTAATGTCTTTTTTTTTCCCCTTGAAATCTAGGCCACAAAGTCACATTGGTGTAGTGTGTGTGTGTCTGTGTGTGCTTGCTTACTTGCTTTTTTTTTAAAGATTTTATTTATTCATTTTTTTCCCCCCAAAGCCCCAGTAGATAGTTGTATGTCATAGGTTCACATCCTTCTAGTTGCTGTACGTGGGACTCGGTCTCGCGTTGGACGGAGAAGTGGTGCCTCGGGGCGCGCCCGGGATCCGAACCCGGGCCGCCAGCATCAGAGCGCGCGCACTTAACCGCTAAGCCACGGAGCCGGCCCAACTTGCTTTTATTCTCTGCTTTGAGTTACTTTGCAGGGTACTGTATTGGAATTGACTTGACAACGTAGTCCACAACTGCCAAAGAAAGACATTTTCCACTTTTGTGAAAAGTTTGTTTTATTTCATCTATTCGTTCACAATATTTTGAAGATTTGGAGCATGTGTTTATTGAAAACTTTAACATTCTTATCATCTATTAATAAAATAGTCCATCAAATATTGTTGCAGGTTTAAACAAGTACCTTTTCATATATAATCCTGAAGCTCTGATATATACCTTTTTTTTCTCGTATACCTTCAGAATGATTTTTCCCTTTTTTGAAATATGAACTCCCAGATAAAAGCCAATTTGTTTTTACATATAACTCTATTCCTTAGCACATTTTTATCCTCTATTAGTGGGCAAAGTCCTTCTAGAATTTAAAATCTCTTGCCAAGTTTAGCTACCTCTTAAAGA